TTAGATATAATGGTCAATGACGTTAAACACCTATACTGTATAATAAATTGAAATTCACAATCCACATTCCTCATTCTTAGCTCAGGTCTTTACAAAACTGAACAATAGTTCACTTTGCTTCCTACTCAAAACAGCAGAATTCAAAAACAAGCAGCAAGCAACAGAACCCACAAAGTACCAAGAAAGAAATTAGTCAGAATTTTTCAAACACAGAATTTCTCCAATAAACCATCTTCAATAAGAAGGCACATCACTCAAATCATTGAAGAAAATTAACTTAAATTAAAAGTAATTTCTTTAATAAATAATGGAAAGATGGATGGATAAGCAGATGGATATATACTGAATAAACATAACAGACATGAGATTAGCAATTTGTTGATGTCATACTTGTTTTATAATTTAATTTGTAATTTAGGGGTGTTCTGAAGATTGTAAAACAATCTTGAGTTTATTAACGGTATTGCAATTGTTGGGCAGTACTTGCAATAAAATGCCACCTGCTATTTGTGCTGCTAGTAATTATCATAAAATAAGATTAGCACATAAAGATCCTTTTATATTTTATAATGTCATAAAAAGAAGTGTTTTCTTGGGTAAATGTGTGTTTGAGGTGTTTTATTTATATAACTTGGGGATGGTCTGAGAGGCAGATGATGGGGACTCAAAGATTATCTTAAATTAGGGCAGTAAAATGAGGCATCTCATTTTATTATACTCATATACCGTATATTATATTCATATCCACAATTACTGGAGGTTTTCATAAACGTTGTCTTCATGCTGCCTAATGTAAAACCAAAAATCCTAGGGTTCCCTGGTTTTGTGATCTATCTGTTATTAATGGAGTTCTAATGAAAGTTCGGGAGGGATGAGGGCAGTCATACTAATTAAGGTTACAGTACATGCTGCAACCCACAACAAATCCTGACGTAAAGACATACTAAGAGGTTAGTTGGCTTCTGGGAAAATTGGCAGACATTGTGCAAGAGCATGTGTGCCTTGTCATAAGCTATCATTCTGTCCAGAGTATATCCTGCTTTCTCCCTGTTGCTTGCTGGAATAGGCTTAGATGGAAGGTGCCTTAATCATGGATGTCAGTATTAAATTCCATTTGCAAAGTTTTTAGGGAACACAGGAGATTATTGGATGGATTATTAAGCAAATGAAAAGTGAGTTAAAAACAGAAGAGCAAATCCTAGCAGTTAGTAAATTTGTGAAATCATACCTTTCAGTGCTTGCTACAGCAGGCTGAGACATGGTGCTCTGCTGTCATCTACTGGTCTGAAAATTAATGTGCATTCCTGTGTCTCATCGGAAAAGCATAATTTTATCATATTTTTAAAAGTCTGCCTATTCTTTATTCTAATATCTTTTACTTCTAATGGAACTTTTAAGATTGGGTGTATTTTCATTGTATGAGGGGGAAAATTAAAGTCTCTTTAAACGGTGTATTGAAGCATAAGTATAGAATGGTTTGTTCTTTAAATTAATAGAGACTAGGGCAAACTGTTAATGGAAAACTACTGATGCAGAGTGACTTTCAAGAGATTTCTGACTCATATTAAAGGCAAAGCACAAGGATCATAAATACATTGCTACAGGTTCTACAGAAGAGTCATTGTCAAGATTCAAATGGAGATCACAAAGGCCGATGGTGTTTGAAAAAAATCTGCCCAGCTGTGTATTTGAAGCAGATACCCTGGGATCTTTCAAGACACAATGATAAATCAGGAAGGATCAATTTATTAACTACCAACCAGGCTATCTGAGTAAAATGGTCTTCTCTCATTTGTAACACTTCTTAAATCCTTAATACTCCAGATGATCCAAGAACACAATAGATCAGTCTTGGATCTCATTCACTCAGAACAAAATGTTTCAATATATGACTGAAACCCCAGCAGCTATGCCGGGCCCTGTGTAGTCACAAATTATATTCTAGGGGTCTTGTTTGCCCATTGCAGGCATTGCTCCCATTCTTGATGCAGTGAATCCGAAAAAGAATGTTATCAAAACGATGCTTGGACAAGTGAGAAGGCCAAGCTTCTTTAATTTGAGATATTCCTAAACCCTCTGTCTTGACTTTTTATAAGACTTTATGAGATATCTACTGGTGGTGCTTCATTGTGATCTGTCTTCAACTATTGAGTTCACACATTAACTGTAGAACTTTTTGGAACCTGCTTAGTGAACTGAATAGAGAGAGTCCCCACAAAGACCTGTTACTATGTTGTTGATCTGTGATGCGACTATGGATAAGCTAATCACACATTTCATTCAATCTGCACATTATAGAAGAGGTCACATGGATGAGGGTGACGGAGCTTGTCTGATACAGATATGAAAGCACTCAATTACATTCATCCTGCGACAGCACTTATTGTTCCCCCTTTGGCAGTTGTGGGCCAAGTTGTGGTCGAAAAGGAAAAACAGTGGTGTTTGAGACTACAGTTATGAGCCAGCAGGTGGGCTGCAATAGAAGAGGGAGGGTGCTGGTCTGTGTTTCTTTGTGATGAATAAAGTTTTGGACCATGAATAAAGTTTTGGATCTGTGCCTTCCAAAAAGTAATTTTATTGTATTAGAATTGATTTTGTAAACACCTGTATGAACACAAATACATATAGTAGAAGGGTGGACCTCCACCTACACTTTTAAGAAAACATAGATTTGATATTTCTTCTTACAATGGCATAGTCCTGCATACTTCCTGTGAGCCATTCCAAAACCATTATATTTACATGTTATTCGAACACATCAAGGTACTTATAAAATGCTGTCCAGCTCTTATTTCATGTTCTATATGCCTCCCATCCCATTTCATTTATTACCTAAAATAATATAAGATAGTAAGTGATTAGTGGTAATCAGGGTCTAAAAACCTCTAGGAAAAAGTATCATTGTGTTTACATATATCAATACGTACTTCCCCTTGCTAAGGTGCTATCTTTAAATACAGAATGTCAAATTGCTTTGTTAAAAACCTCTGAAATGAAGCAATATGTAAGGGATAACCTATAAGAAGGCAAACAGATTATCCCATCTAACATCTCATTTTTTTACCTCACTTCAATCAATTGGATATCACAATGTTTTTGGAATGGAACATGTTAAAACAAAATAAGAATCACCATTCCTATTCATCCTCATTGCCAAGAATCACCACCAAAAATCCAAATCAAAAGTATCAGAATTTTATTCTGACAATTAGAATAATAAACATGTAGGAAAGGTTGCCAGTTATCTGTGTGCCTGCTATACAGGAGCAATCAGACATTCATTCCATGCAGAAAAAGAGAGAAGATAAATAAGATTGTGTGGGAGAAAAAGGAACAGAGCAGGAAAATAAGGGGAAAAGGTCGCTAAGGAAGATTAAAAACAATGAAATGTGAGAAAGAAGATATAAGAGGGCGTACAAAGAGGAAAATCTGGATATTCATTTCTGGGGAATCTATAAATTAAATGGGAAGATGTAAAAAGAAATGAGTAAAACACTGAGAGGTGGAGGAAAGTGTAAACCCAGTATTAGGATAATTTTAGCTTCTCCTGTCTTCTGGAGTAGGCGGTTTTGAATGCCTGTGAAAAGATGCAGACAGAAAAAAATGAGCCTGTCTGCACCCTTTCATGGGGATTCAAAGACTACACTTGTAGCAGGCTATAATCACTACAGAGAAAACAAAAATTGTAAGGTATTACAAGAGCTAAATTCCTGTCCACTGGTACAACCGTCACATCTCTAGTCCTTCTTATTTGATCTAGTCATACACCATTAAAAGTGAACTTAAAGGTACTACTTCAATGATAGCCTATAACCTGCTACAACAGTGTTAATACAGAATGTGTGAAGAAGCCTCTGAAAAGAGTTTTAAAATGGCTTTTTAAAAATTGCAAAGGCAGTATTCTTCTTTATTGCAAACCCAATGATTATGTTATTATCCATCACATAACAATATGTGCTTCAGTCATCTTTACAGTTCATGAATTAAAAGGCACTGGTTCCTTGATATAAAAATGAAACTAGCTGTATGTTGAAGATCAAATATATGAATAGATAAGTTAATAGAGCTGAAAATTCTAATTCTAAGTGTTTTAAACTCTCTCTGGGTGTTCACTCTCTTAATGAAATTCAGAACTTTAGATAGATGCTTTTCAAATCATTTCTCTTCTCATTGCCTGTGACTGACTGTGGTACAAAACTATTCCAGCAATTTTAGATTTCCTTAATCTCAACATGTCTTCTCTGTGGTGTACTAAACTAGTCTGGAGTGGTGCCAATCCATTACTATAGTAAAGGCTTTAAATGGCTGTATGATAATATATTCTGGTATCGTAACACATAGTGCAACCATAGTAAAACGAAGAGAGAACAAAAGGTATAGCAAATAAGATAAGATCACTTTATTAGCCATATTTTTGCATTAGGAATTCATCTTTTCGCATACCCCAGCTTGCTCTCCATGTGGCACAGACACAAAGACAGGGAGAGAAGCTTGGGGTCAGAGCGCAGGGTCAGCCATTGTACAGCACCGCTGGAGCAGTTGGGGTTAAGGGCCTTGCTCAGGGGTCCAACGGAGTAGGATTCTTCTACTGGCTGCGGGATTTGAACCGGCAACCTTCCGGACACAGGCACAGATCCACTTAGCCACAGTGCAACCACTCCGCCCAAATATAATAACAAAAATAGAACTGTACTCTAAAAGTCTGAAATCACTATTGGGATTTAACCTGCTGACCTTTCCCATAAACCTACTGACAACAAATCAGGCATTTCTGACTTGTGTGCCAGTGGAACAGTTCCCCTGGACATTTCCCCGAGTTTGCAAACATTCGATTTTTCTTTTTTAGAAACAATCCTTCCATAGAAGCAAAATGTATAATTTTCCAGGACGAGTACAACAAGCAACATAAAATATGAATAAGTGCAAATCCAAAGCTGATGACTACAGCTTTCTGTTTATATAACTGTTCCATGATCTGTGGGCATGTGGCTTGTTATGTGTAGATGCCATAAAAGAAGAAGAACCGACATGATAGCAAGAATTTAATTTTATGACAGCTATAAGTTTCACCACTTAACTTCACCAGACAGAGGGCAATGGCTAACAAATACTGGCTACACAGTTTGGAAGACAAAGAGAGGAAACAGCTCCCTGATTGTGGAAACAGGTGTATTATGCCCACGATTTTCACCGACTGGCCTCTGAAAATTCACTGGACTACTGGACTATCAATGACAGTGCATCTATAGTATCACCTCAGCATGAGAAAAAAGATACAACCAGCTAGCAGAACAATCTGTGACACAAATGAAAATAACTTTAGTGCAAAAGCTACTGTTTAATTGCTCAATCATTGCACTAAAGATGCATGTGGAGGTTATTTATTTTGTGGAAGAATTAAACTAGGAAGTGCAAAGATTGCAACTACAAAAAAACAAAAGAGGCTGTATTGGTGCAACCTGCAGCACCAAGATTCCAGATGTGAACATCTGTTTTCCCATTGGACCTACTGGTGGGACACTATTTCCGTACCCCTATATAAAGGTCCAGAATGATTACGAACAGCAGATCACTAAAGTCATTTCTTTTTAATTTTTTCATTAGCCATTCCAGTGCAAAACATACACTGAAATTTATTTTTTAATTGTATTTATATTTATTTATGAAACGTGTATTTAGTCTTATGCAATAAAAAAATGAAAGACTCTGGGCCTAATTTTAAAGCTGTCTAGCCTCATTTGCATATTGCCATCGTGCTGTGCTTACTGTGAGGATGTAGGTTTAATCGCAGCAAGGGAACAATAAAACTACAGACTTAACTGCACGGAATTTGAAGGAATTGCGGGACAATCAAGAGTGAGACATGGTCATCACCAGAAACATGCAGAAATACATTCCGGCTTTAAAGAAAACTCAGAATTCACTTAAAATAATGTTAAAATTTGAAAAGTTAAGAATAATACAACCTTAGCAGTAGACCTTTTAGACTTTTTTTCTGTGCACAGTTATTAATGTCTTCCACTACAAAGTTAAAAATGATAATGTAGCAATCCAGCTGAGAGCAACTGCTCTCTGCTCTCTCTACAGCTTTAACCTGTATCTGAGAGTTTAAACCAGTGCTGCACAGGTGCCTAGGCCTTTAAAAGACTAACTGCTCAAGTCACGAGAGGGAGAAAAGGGCTCGATAGCTCCTCCTGCACAAATTCTAATCCACTCACAAGGCTAAAGCCCAGGGTAAAATTAAACCAGTAGTCTATAAGGATCACTGAGGTCAACACAGGCATTTCAAATGGCCACCTGAGTTTTCTCAGTCTACTGGGGATGAATCTACTGCTGTGAACTCGGTGAAGTGCAAAGAAGAAAAAGTGCAGGACCACAAAGTCAGAGAGAAATGTAAATCTGAAACTGGGTATAAACCTGCATGGCGGCAGATGCAGCCATGTGATCTCAGATATTATTGGTGCTTTATCGCTTACACAACTGGATCAGTGTCTCATGTGAGGTACAGAAAACACACATTCATGTGGAAAGGCGCGCAAGGATTAGTGCCTTCTGATATGATTAAGAAAATACAGAGAGGATTTAAAAGAAGTTAAAAGATGGATAGTTGATTGCGATATATAAGCTTAAAATGAAGACCCCTAAAGAGGAAAAAAGATTGACCTAGCTTGAAATTACACAGAGCCTTATCATTCTATGTATTAATTAATTTGCTTAACTTTCACATTTATTGCAAATCTTTATCTCTTAATAATTCAGATACCTTGTAATATTGTGACCTTTAAAGGCCGGTGCTGTGAGAAGAGCCTGAGAAAAAAATCGATCCTCACACCTGACACCTGTCCACCTGACAAATCACAGCCTGAGTCTCTGGAAGTCATGGTCCAGCACATTGGCAGCATTAGACCAAGCGGCGTGCTGAGCCCCATCCATCTCTGATGCCACATCATTGCCACTGGCTAAGCTGTGGTTGGCACCACCGATGGTGGCATCACACTCGGGGCATATCCTGCTAACCATGGCCCCCCCGCAGTCTCCAATGGCATAGACATGACCATTAGGGCACTTGTACCAGTGTCCCTTGGGAAGTCCCATAGCCTTGACAATCATAACTCGCTCTCCATCAGAGATACCCAGCCCACTGCGTGGCAGCTGGGCATCCAGATCTTTCATGGCCTGCTGTGCTTTCTGCTCATCTTCCTGAGTGAATGGCGCGGTGCCCTCCAGAAGCTGTCGAAGGGACAGCACCTGGGCATGAACCGTGGCACTCAGCACCTTCCTGCCTGCATGCTGGCAGCGCAAGTTCAGCTCTGCCAGACAGGTAAGCCTCTGGATCTCAGCCTGAAGGTCGGATGCCTGCTGCTCAGAGAATGTCAAGTTCGGGTGCTCCAGCCACTCCAGACATTCACCCACCCGCTTGAAGAATCGATCCATATCGTCAACAGACATTTTCTCCTCTGCTTTGCACAGCTGACCAATGCGATCATAGAAGGCAATCTTGTTCTCCAGTATTCCCAAGTCCCTTAATGTAAGGCTCGTCTCCTCTAGCTGTTCCTGGAGCCGGCGATACTCCACATGGAGATAGAGCTGTAGGGCCACCTTGTCTTTGAGGAGCCTCACCAGAGCCTTCTGCTTCTTCTCGATGGCGAGTGGAGAGCCATGAACCTGGGCTTTCACCTTCTCGATCTCGGCCAGGCTGCGGTTGACAGCAGTGCCGTAGCGCAGGCTCCTGCGGATGGGTGTGCGACACCTGGGGCACTCTTTTAGTTTGATGGACACATGCTCGTTGTCTTCCCCCGGCCCTTCATCCATGTTCATGTAGTGGTCCATGGCGACGGACTCCACCAGATGACCGCAGTCTTCCAGCTGGACAAAGTAAGCTAAGGGGTCATCCTCATTGCCAAAGAAGATCTCTGTCACTTCATTATGGTGGCAAACGCGGCACTTGTCTGGGCAGGGTTCCCCACACAGTCCGATACAGGGGTGCCCACAGGAGAGGGCCTTGTTGCAAGGCTCATTGCAGGGTGGGCGATCACAGGGCTCATGACAGAGTTTGCTGCAGCGCAGGTGCTGGCAGAACCAGAAACAGGGTTCCACGCAAGGTGCACAGGGCAGGCCACATTTCTTCTTGCAGGCACTATGCACACAGCGGTTCTGGCAAGGCAGCCGACAGGGGGGGCATTCTTGGGTGCAGGGCTCCCTGCACTCATGAGAACAGATGAGTGGGCGCCGACAGCCCTGACGACAAGCCTCGTGGAAGCGGCCCTGGTAGCAACGACCACAGGTGCCCGGGCAAGGGTGGCCACACTTCAGTTTCTCACTGCACTTGACCCTGCATGCAGGGTGCCTCTGCCTCTGCCCTTCCTCTTGCTTGCTGAAGTAGCAGGCATCTTCCTGCTCATGGCCGCACTGTAGTTTTATAGTCACCATCACCAGGCAACGGGATGTGCAGGTCTCCCCACAGACAGAATCACAGGGGTGACCACACCTCAGTATCTTAGTACATGGAACCTGGCAGATAGAATCCAGTGGGTCCTGGGAGCAGGGCACCTTTTGCTTGTGCCCACAGTACGGGATCTCTTTTTCCACAAGGACCTGGCACTCCTGGCATTGCTGGAAACACAGCCCTGGGCAGTGGTGGCCCTGCTCGCAAAGCACCTTCTGGCATCGCTTCAGGCACTTGAACTTCTTGTGATCCGCGTCATACGGGTGGCACGCACGGGTACAGACGTGGCCGCACTCCAGGCGGAACTCGCAGGGCCGGCTGCAGCCCCCCTCGGGGGCCTGCTGGAAGTCCTGGGCACAGGAGACCATAACGCGGGTGTCTGGGTGATTCTGGCAGCACAGGATCAGCGAGCGGCCAATCTGCCCCCTCTCCCGCAAGGTGTGAAGGATGTTGCTCCATAGCTGAACCTTCCCAAACATGCCCATGTTTCCGATGCAATAGAGGCCCTTCTTGGCACGGGACAGGGCCACACAAACCCGATTGGCGATCTGAAGGAAACCCACTCGCCCCTCTGGGTTGCTGCGGACCAGAGAGAGCAAAACAATGTCGTTTTCCTCCCCCTGATACTTGTCTACCACATGGACCTTCACCCCAGCGAACTGGCTGGCCGGCAACAGCTTGCGCAGGCAGTGCAGCTGCCCGGTGTAGGTGGTGAGAATGGTGATCTGAGAGGGCTGGTAGTCCTGGCACATGAGGTAGCGGCACAAGGCGACGAGGAACCGGGCCTCGTGCGGGTTCTGGTGACTGCGGCCATCCTGGATCTCCTGCTCTGGGAACTCGTGCTCCACAAAAAAGAGGTTGGAGAGCAATCCCTGGCACAGAGACAGACAAGGGGACAAGAAGACAAGTAGTTTGAGGTCAGGGTGACCAAGCTTCACATGTTAAACCACCTAACAAGAGGTTCTTCCGGCAACTCTACACACAGTGATTAAATGTTTAATAAGAAGAATACATTAAAACTGAATTGCCAGTTCCTTACAATCTTATTTTTTATTTGTAAATAGAAAACAGTATTTGAACCATAAATGTTATTTTTAATAATTCAAACATTTGTAATAATTGTTCTGGACAACTGAATGACTCACAACTCAGCATCTCAGACACAGTGATTTTTAACTGTGATTAATGATGAGCAAGAGATATTTAAACAGCAAATTTAATTTGAAAACATTCATGCATTCTTAAGAGAGGATTCCCTCCTCAAGCTGAACAAACTACAATTAATATTTTTTCTAATAAACAATTACCTATTTTCTGCCTCTATGAAACGTTCTAAAGCAGTTTGTGACAGGCTGGATGTGACCGTATTGATGTGATTCGTTTCAAGTACTTTTTTTTATTTGGATTTGAACGGGTGCATAGTGCCATAGCAGTTAGCACTGCTGACTCATTGCTCTTGAGTCCTGGGTTTAATGTCAACCTCAGGAACATACAGTGCTGAATTTCCATGTCCTACCGCGTTCTACAGTTTCTTCACATAGACATGCAGGCTAGATTAATTATCCTTATGTGCTCGTGTGTGTCATGTGACCTGCTGCCTGGTGGCTTACTGTTACTCTTACCAGGAATAAGTGTCTTTATGATAATAGATGAATCAGAACATAATCACCTACTATGAGTTCTGGAAACGGTATACTAAAAGTGACAAACAAGTGGACAAGTAATGCATGGTCATCTCTACAGCCCACAATCCCTTTTGGAACTTGTAAACTGACCTTGATGTTGTCATATTCCAGTACACTGGGATGGTTCTCCAGCTCCGCGTAAATGTGGGGAGTCAGAAGTCGAGCGATTTCTGGCCTCATGCGGTGCTGATTGAGTGAAAGAGAGAAACGGTTAGGGTAAATAAGGATCAGGATAAGAAAGGCAGATCAACATAAACAGAAGCATTCTTTCTAAGCTAACTGTCTTGTAAAAACATCCATCTGGCCCAGTCAATTAAGGCCTTGATTTTTTGTGAGCTAGAGAGGTCACAGAGAGAAAACATTTCTTATTTTTTGGTTTAAAAAGTTTGCAAATGGAAGTGGTCAAATGGAAGAAATATTACAGAATCTAATAGTTTATAAAAGTATTGAAAAAGACTGCTGTAAGAATTGTGACATACCTAAAATACCTTGGTTTCCAGTTCCACACATTCACAAAAAAATTACTTTTCCAAGCAATTAAAGTGAAGATCGCTGAGATGTAGAAACTCACAAATACTACACAAATCCTGTTCTAAAGAATTGGATACATAATTCAAGTTTTCAACTACATGAAAAATAAACCAAGCATTAAGGTAAAATGACATGAGACTACAGGGAAACCTCTGTGGTGCCTGTAAAAGGGGGAGAAGGTTGGATGACTCTGCCTGAAGTTCCTTGTTCTCTCCTCTGAGCCAACACATGATTCAGTGCTGTGAGCCTTACCATGAAAACTTAATTTCAAACTGGGTCAATATAACCCAATATCACCCTCTTCCCTCATTGGTTGATCATTTCAAATAAAAAAATAGAATTTCATTTTCAAATATTTAACTTAAGGTTAAGACATAAAATAGGATTTTGTTTTCTTTTGTAATAGGTCGCTTATTTGCAGCACAGTCCTTTTCAGATTAGTTTCATTATGACGCTAGCTGGCCAGATCTCCGCTGGCGTCTCTGGCCCTGAACAACGTGGGGCCGAGTGACACTGACCTGGTAGTTGAGTCTGACGTAAGGGAAGTCCAGCTTGACCAGCCTCTCAAACAGGGACACCTCCAGGTTGAAATTCTTTGCCAGCTCGTACACTGTGGCACTGGGGCGCAGCTGTGGGCATGAATGGCAAAGGTTAAATGTAACTGCAGCTGAGACTCAGAAAAGCTTTCCTGTGACCTCAGCATGCTAAATGTACATGGTGTCACACCCTGTACACCTAGAGGGCGCTGCTCTTCTTCCTGTTCCTAGTTCCCTGTGATTATTCATGTCTTTCCGGTGTGTCTTGTTGTGTAGCCTATTTACTTCCTGTGTCTGCTCTGCTCCTGGCTCAGCAGGGAGGGTATGGATATCCTGAGACCCGCCTAGCACCAGGTCTCCCCATGTCCGTGGCCTGAGGGCATATGTTTCTATACCGACATCGTGTGACCCCCTGAGCCTGGGCTAACCTCCATGTTGCCCCTTTCAACGCTACACATAGGGTCTCTACTGCTCTCCTGGCCATTCCACAGCTTGCCCTTCCAATATCCATGACACATGGTATTTCAGCACAGGTTTTTAATTTACATTTATTTATCTTGCTTTTGTTTATAGGTTACTTTACAATTCCATTTAACTTAATTACTTTTACAATCTTTTACTATTGTACAGTACCATGGTTTACCAGTGCTATGGCTTATTATTGCATATGCTGATAAAATGACTACTTACAGTCTATTACTGTTACAAGCTATAACGGTATCAGCACTGCAGTAAATCGCAGTAAAAGCAACAGGGAGCCCAGTGAATGCAGCTTCAGACAATGAAACATGAAGGTGAATAATTACATTATAAACTTTAATGGCTTCAACATTATTTGCACAGAAATCTATATGTAATAATATCAATCCATAAACCATAGTTCTTTTCACACCGAGGTACAGATTTGGCAATAGGGATTGTTACTACTACACAGCACAGCAAGTGTAAGCCATTGATGTCTTCCCTTGTTCCACAGTTTTAGCTGTATTTACCTGTCTGTGCTCTCTGATCAATAGAGATGCTCTGTGAGGGGATCTGTGCTTTATGGTCCTGGTGACAATAGGAAGAATTTTGTACCAGCTCTGGGCACCCTCTAGGTAACTCACAGCAATAAATAAGCGTTAATGAGGCTTACAGCTCATCTGCCCTGTTATTCAATACTGCCTGAGCCCAGGGAACACTTTACAATTTTCTTTACAAGAGGTTAAATACAGGTCTCTTCTCCCTCAGTTCTGGTTGTTAGTACAAACCTGTTTCTCTGTCACTTTTAGAATCTCTCAGCTCTAGTGACTAATCTACAATTACTGTATTACCTATCTTCCTCCCTCAATGTCTCTAAGCTCTAACAATTTGGTGCATCTCTCTGCTTCTCTCCCCTGGTGCCTGAACTGTGTCCAAACCCTACATCCACCTGTTATTCCAGCAGATAAAACACATACAAATAACTTATTATCACTATAATATGTTAAGTTTGAGTCTCATTTGTTTGAATGTTCAGATCTCAGTTTTAGAAATCTGGGCACTCAATGTCATATCAATTGAGAAAAACACACATTTTATATTTTTACAAATTATCAGATTCTCTGAGATATGGTAGGACCCAGGACATCTTCATGTTTGTAAACTGTTTTTTAACTGCTTTTTTAAGAAACCCCAGAAACTAGAAAACTGAGATGGAAGCAATTATATTCACCTTAGCCATGAGACCTTTGAAGGTCAAAAGCCAGGTTGATAAAAAAAAACAGTGAAATATAATTTCTAATATTTCAAGTCCTGTTTTCTGACATGAGTTAATTTGTTCCTCTAGAATGTGTTTAAAAGCGTACTTTAGCTGGACAAATACAGATATAGTGAGGAAGCCACTTTTAAAGGCACTATTTAAAATGTTTTTTATTATTACCGTTGTTATAATTATGAATCTGAAACTATTGAAATGACCTCTATTAACAAGGGAGCAGTAGATTAGGCGAACACACTGGCGAACTTTGCCTGATCTGTGATTAGTAGCCTGAAGCTAGCCCTGCAGCTTTGGAACAGGATTGGGCTCTACGGGGCCTCACCTGCTGGTGGTCTCCGATGAGGATGAGATGCTGGCAGGCCTGGCTGAGCGTGGTGATGGTGTGGGCCTCCAGCACTTCGGCTGCCTCCTCCACGATCACCAGGCGGGGGCGCACCTCCTGCAGGGTCCGGCGGTACTTGGCGGCTCCGGTGGTGGTCATGCCGATGACCCGGGCCTCCTTCAGGATGCACAGGTCCTCCCGCAGCCTGATCTCCGCCAGCCTTTCGGCCGCGTCCTGGTACACCTGCTCGGACTGCAGGGCCCGCGCCCGCATGTCCGTCTGGTAGCGGCTCAGCCAGAGCCTGGGGCACAGAGATGAGAGAGGAACAGCGGGCAGTGCATTCTTCTCCCAGTGTTAAAGCCAGGGCCACAATAATGTTCTTGTAGGCTTCTAGGTTCGAGGCCTCTTGGGTAGATACATTTTTATGCGTATATCAAATTTCTATGGGTAGATGGATGATCAATTATCTTCATTCAAATAAAAAAAAAAGGTCAAGATTTTTTTCAAGGGCCCTTTAGTTTACATAAGCCCTGGGTGCAGCACCTATTGTGCCAACTGGATAATATGCAGCACATCCGTCTCTCTTTGAGGAAGCACTGCTTTGTCCTAATGCTGAGCAGTGGCTGTCTGAACTGCCTTAGCCATGGAGTTCAAGCTGTATTTAATTTGCTACCAAGTGAATGGGTATAGTTCTCCGTAAATGTAACATGCACTTTACACACGTCTGTACAACACTGTGACTACAATGCATTTTCTTGAACTCGATAATGTGTAATCATTTAAGTTACAAGTTTCTTCCTCATAAGATATTTTTCTTACCATTCATTTCAACTGGACAGACATGTCAATGTACCATGCTGTAATGTCTTGGCTGAAAGACTAGTTAGTATAGTAACCCCTGTCACCATCCTAGGATGGACTCAGTTTAAGAAGTTCTGGTCCAGAGGGAGGTGTCTGACTGAACTGACGATACCACCCTAACTTCTCTTAAAGCAACGATCTAGCCCTCACTGTACATTATAGATTGCTTAACAACTCTACTGCTGTTATGTGTATTTTAATTTGAGTGGTGTACTGGATTTAATTGTTGCACTCTGAACTGGAGGCAAAGGTGTACCTTGCAGGACCAAGAGAAATGTAATACCTGTCTGGGTTGAGGAGCTATTTTGTTGATATCAGACCCTCCGTAGTGCCACACTAGCACAGATCACTATTTGTAAGAATTCTGCTTTGAGATGTGCAACTGACTGTTCAGCAGTTCCACGTGTGTGTTGTTGGCACTACATTGTGCCCATGTGGTGAGACTGTCTGCACTCCTACCTGTACAGCCTCCAGCGGTCCTTCAAGTTTAGCCTCCAGATATCCCACACTGCCATCTCCTCTTGCTCACTCATGGCCAAGCTTTTCGACAGTTCCCAGCGCACACGCTGCTTCATTTTTTTCTTCTGATCACGTGTTATCTGCACACACACAAACTCACACAGTCAGGCACACATCAGCCACATAATCTGGAGCTGTAAAACCTCACCAACTCCTTCTTTTCTGCTGCTCCCTTTCTCCTTCTAGTAGGCTGTACAATTACTCTAAATAAGACAATAATAGTTACTGCAAAAAAAATACATTGCTACACCACTATAGTCCGTCCATTTCCAAATCTCTTTATCCAGTACAGGCTGGCAGGACTACTGTAGTATAAAAAATATATATCTGAGCAGACCCAGGGCGAAACTGTTCTCCTGTTGCATTACCTACACATACCTCAGGCTACATAACCTCCCTGTCTGACTGAATAGATTGTTCAACATGCAAAATACCAAAGGTTTAAAAGTGTTCTGGCATCTGCACAATATATGATTTTGATAAAGTTTTTTTCTACCAAAAACACAAAAACTTTACATGATCTTTATTCCAATTCATAACAATGTTTGACAACATTCAGTGACAATAATGTAATCTGTACTGAAATCTTATAATAAAAAACACCCAATCATAAGCTACAGCTTCTTTGGGCAACTGGCAAGGGTTCTGCCTGGGGTCAATACCTGCCAGCCCTCCTGGCTCTGTGTTGGCCCTCTTTCCTCATTCTTGTCCAGGTTCAGGGCCAGCAGCATGCCCGCCAGCTCTTTGATTGCGAAGTCTGCTTTCTTCTTCTTCTGCGCATGACCACGGAGCTCCCCCTCCTCGATTAGGCGCTCTGCCTGAATCAGCTCGGCTTCCTCCTCCACCTCTATCAGCTCCTCCTCTTCCTGCCCAGGCTCCTCCTCTGCCTCCTCTGAGAGATGGGCAAAGAAGACACGGAGGCTGCAATGCTGTGCTTCAAATGAGCTCCTTCCTTAAAAGCAGCGCCCCTCCTCTGACCACAGCCACAGTGGTTAATCCCCCACCCATCTTGAAGTCAGGTTACCCATCATTTATCAGAGGTTCCTTACCAGCATTGTCAGCAGGTGCCTCTCCTCCAGTCTGCTGGAATTCTGAGGACCCCAGGCCCAGCCACTCCAGGATTAAAGACTGCTTCTTCCCGTAGCGCTGGAACCCATCCCACAGCTGCACACAGAAGCAGACACAGAAGAAATCAGTAAGCTGACACATCTAAAGAGCTGCCTAGACAGATGCCCAGAACATTATCATTCAAGAGTATGAAACTCCAGACTTTTGACATACCCAGTCAAGTGTACAGATCCAACAAATACCCCAGTGGAGAAATTTGCATGCCCAAAGTGCAAGGGGTCAATAAAAAGGGGGATGAAAATCAAAATCAAATCCCAACCAGAACCAAAAACCGAACCAAACCATAGGAACTTAAATGAATGAAATAGAAGTCAATCTGAAACAGTTTGTGTGCTAGGATTTATATGGCCTAAAAACTGTACCTACAAGAATTATATTCTTAACAGACAATTGTAATTAAGTTTGAGTGTTTTCACTCATGCAAGCATTTTTGGTGATGATCAGAAACACCAAGGGAGACACGCTGCAGAGGGGCACGGACACTTGTACATACACATACGGCACACAAAAGCACGCCGACAGACCATGCCAACATGTTTGCCACAAGTATGCTCGCCCTAGCGCAGTCTGCTCACTGGTTGCTGGTTGAGGCTGTTCCAATGTCTTTCGGAGATGAACCTCTCCAGGAACTGCTCGTGCATGATGCCTTTGAGAGTGCACTCCAGCTGTCCCGCCTCCTGTCGAATCCGCTGTTCTGCCTGTGCCAGCTCCTTAGTAATCTGGGCGAGGAAGGGGAAAAGAGGTAGAAGGGCAGGTCATTGTCTCTCAGCCATTTATGTTGCATCAAATAGCCCTTTCCTGAGGAAGAAACAGTGATGCAGAATACTTTACTAAAGCACAGTGCTTCTCCACAGCTCCAACCGGTCCAGAATTCTGCAGCTCACCCTGTTCTTTTTCTCTTCCTTGCTTTTCTCATGCTGCTGAAGTATAGTACTTCAGTTCTCTCAAAGGCCCCTTGTCAAGGCACTCATCCAATTCAAAATCCTTGATCTTACTTCTGTCTTCGGTTTCTTATCTCTCCCTTCACTTCCTCTCAACCACCTCTCCTTTCTCCCACTTCCAGAGTCCATGCATTCTCAATCTTCGCCCCTCAATGGTGAAATGAACTACCGTCATTGTCCCAGATTGCTCAATAACTGACCACCTTTCTGCACCCTCAGACAGCACCTGTGGTCTCTTAGTTCTTAGTGAACGACTACTGTATTATGGGAGTTGCATAGTAGTGGGTAAATCTTTGGATTAATGACTGACTGGTCATGGATTAAAATCCCTGCTGCAGATACTGCTGTTGCTCTTAAATAAGGTACTGTACTTTACCCCAGTGGCTCCAGGCCACCAGGCTGTATTAGTGGGGACCAGTAGTGATGGGGGTAAATCCCTGTGATGGTCTGATGTCCCATCCAGGGGGAAGTCACGTGCTCTCTAGTCTTGGTTCTTAGATTTATAATTTCCAGATTGTTCTATTTTAATAATACTAATCTGCAATTCAAAACGTTCTGATCCTAATACAAAAGGAGGCAGCCACATATAGCCTTTATCTTGAGTACACTGTTTTGTAGCATTGACTTTTTTTCTTTGAATATTTATAATGTGACAATCTTAGAATTTCATAGAACTGTATTTACATCAAACTATGAAGTAACACCATAAACAACACACAGTTTTCCATTTGTGAACAACAATTGAGTCTTGTCCAACAAGGTCTGATCTTGATGTGTCTGTTTCTAGGCAGAGTACGGGTCACATGAGGCCATTTGTTTTTGAAGTACAGCATGTAGGCTTCAGGCAGTGTGCAAACACTTAATTTTCACAGCCATTACCAACAGCATAAGGCCAAAATCTGTCAATGTTATACCTTGTGTGTTGCTTACCTCACTTTGAAGTTATGAAACATTAAGAACTAAAAAAGATTAAGTGGCACCTACACACAATCACATATTAATTGCTCCATATGTCCTCCTTTGAATTTCTTTAGATTACAACAAAAGCTCTTGATCCCAACTTTTATGGCAATTAAACTGCTTCTTGAGGCCAGATTATCAGAACTGCCATTGTGATATATGAAAGAAAGTTCAGTACAGTAGGTGAGTACTAAAGAGGATCAATCAATATGAAATTAGTCCATCAGGGAATACTGTAACACAGTCTGACACTTCCTATGCAGAATACACTCTTTGTGAGATGCCTTTTATTTAGTCTACCCACTTTTAAAATCAGACGCCATTACTGGTGGACGCCAATTGTGACACACTGCGTGTGGTACAGCCAACCTCCACTGTGCTCACCTCGAAATATGCCCGGCGGAGGTGTGAGGGTAGGTTCCTGCGGAAATTGGAGCCCCCTCTCAGCTCCCTGAGGGTGAAACGTTTCAGGATGTCGCTGTTGCTGCGGCCGCCCACCCTTACAATCCCCGAATCCAGGAAACCATGGATTCCTGCAGAAGGCAGAGAGGGGAGTCTGAGGTGCTTCAATTAATTTCATTCACCTGACACCTTTACATTAACATGGGCTGCAATGAGGAAAAGTACTTTTCTATTTTCATCCTATTCATCTGAGCTGCAGAAGTGTTAGTCACAAGATACAAAGGTTAGATAGAAGATGGAACAAAAGAAACAATTAGCCCAATGTAGCCCAACTGCAGATGTCCAGGGAAATGGGTATAGAGTAAAGACAACAGTCAATAGGCATGAAGCAGGAAAAACAGTAATTTCTACTAGTGTTGTCTGCACACCTGAGCCTCAGGGGTGCTATGGAGATAGTGAGAGAGAGTGCAATGAGGATTGGGGGTGACTGTTTCCATCAAAGACAGAACTGAAAGAGAAAGGAGCTGGAATACCAGAAAGAGATAGACAATGACAGCCAGATATGGAGGAGAGGAGACACAGGGGAGAGACTGGAGACAGGACATGTGAGGGACCAGAGTGCCAAACGAGGAAGATGAGGGCCTAAGCATAAGAGCAGGGAAGAGAAGCACTAGAAGTGTGAGGAGCAGAGGAGTCACTTGGAAGAAGTGACCTGATCATCGCAGAAAGGACAAGAGAAAGCAGGGGAAAGGGAGATGATCAGCTACCATAAAATGTTTCAAGCAAAATGATGAGAAGCAATAGACTGGTAGTGAACAATGAGAGCTTGGTAAATAAATTAAGATTTTATTTTCTGGGTTGCGCTTAGAATGACACAGTTGCCAGGAATTGTATGTTTTAACAAACATTAATCAGACAGGAGATGTTTCAAAAACAGAGTAAGCCTAATAGAATATGATTATGGTATTTTAAATTACTAATAAAAAATATTTTTAATTTACCCTGTCAGCGTGTTATCAACAGTGAAGGCCTGAGAGTGTTTTGAACGTGGGTGACAATGATGCCCTGCACAAGTCACGTTTAAGCTCTCCCTTTTCCCTCATGGGGCACTCCATCCTATTTAAACTAAGCTCCAGAACCACATGGTTTACACAATAAGCACTACTTATACCCCTATTCCCTAAATTCCCTACGTTTCCACTCCTGAAGAACAGCGGCTCTTACCTTCCAAGAACTGGTCGAGCGCATGGTTGGTGTAGCAGACCACCAGGATGGGAGGGGTCTCCAGGTCATGCCGCCACACCTGGGTGTTATTCAGCAGAGCACGAGCGATCTTCAGACCCACATAGGTTTTCCCTGTAAGTGATCAAGACGCACTTATCACCATAACTTCCAGTATTATTATTCGTGACTGACTTGGTGATATGGCTAATAATTTCACCCATGGCAGCTTTGTTACTAGGGAGAATGCAGAGCGAGCTCTTGCTCAAAATTAAAACAATTAAACAGTAGATCCATTCACTTTTTTTCACCGTGTCCGTGTCAGAGGACCTTGGTGGTTAAGCTATGAGGTACAGATGTGTTTTGTTTCCTAGATTTCCCAACACCTAGTTTGGTGTTATATCTCATTAGTCCTGGAAACAGCTGCTCATGTTCCCCTGAATTGTAGCCTTTCTATTGTACTTGAGCTCCAGTATATATGGGAAACAGGTCCTGTATTGTTTCCTCTGCCACTAAAGCTCTCAGTTAAAGTAACTGATCAAATTATTGCCTCAGCTGTATACATGTAACAAACCCTTCCAAAACCCTTTGCAGCTAATGATTTAAAAGGCTCACTTGATACACTTTGCAACAAAAAACTGCACAGTCTTAAAAGAGGGTTAAATCCATCCACATAAAAACAGAGAACAGAGTGAAAATCAAGAAGGCGCATGGCACTGCACAGCATTATGAAGCACTATGAGCTTTTCCATTTTAAAAGTGCTGCAGGCTCCAGTACAAACTGTGGAGAAAAAAAAACTTGAGAAGACAAAAATCAATTCAATGTTATTTCAACTACATGTATCCATCTCCTTATAACCATGTATATGCCAATAAAAACACATCTTGGCAAAATTTGCAGTTTAAATAAAAACAAGTACTCTTTTTTACCTTGAGGGTTTTGGAACTATTCGATATGTGCTTTGATCAGTGCAAAATGTAATATGGTAACAGGCTTCCAGAGCCTGGTACTGGCTAAGACAGCAGCCTGCTGCCCTTACAAAACCTGAATACTCTGCAATGTGTCTTATTTGTTTCCATAAAATCAATCTGGCATCTTTGTTCTGAACACTATGGCACTAAAGTATTATCCAGATAATTTCGTAAAGGCAGCATTTAGGAAAAGCATCTCCAGACTGGGCTAGTGTTCCCGTCACTTTGTCATGCACAAGCCACTTGGTTTCTCTGTCCATTTACCATTTTTTACAACAAGCGTTGCCGTGTGAAACATTTACTACGTTAAATACTCTGGTACGGTATTATTGTAGGCAAGTGATAGAATGCCACAAAAACTGCAGTTTAAATGGAAATGAGAAAGTAAAGCAAAGCTTATCTGAAAACCGTCCTACTGGCATTGCTTACCGGTGCCTGGAGGACCCTGTATGATTGCCAGCTCTTTGGTGAGAGCCAGTTTGAGTGCCCTCATCTGTGATTCATCAAGCCCCAGCTGCTCCATGCTGGGCCAGGCAAGGGGATCCAAAGCATCGAAGGGCATCAGAGGAGCCTTTGCACTTTCCTTGGGTACTGCAATGGCCGAGAGGTCATAGTTCCCTCCCATAGGCAAGTAGGCAGGTGGAGACACGTCAGACTGGCACTCGACAATGTACCTAGATGAGGATACGAGCAGTCTGGTAAGTACAAGTACAGTCTCAGTCTTCTTAAACAATCCAGAATGGCTTACTATAGGGAAACTAGCCAGTGCTGCCTCATCTGGGAAACGTGATGGAAAAAGATGGGGCTGAGCCTTATCAGGATTGATGCACTCTTGAGAATCCTAATGCAACCATAAATGCTGGACTCCAGTGATTATCCCTAGCATTGCTAAAGACACCAACTTGTCCAGTTTTCTAGGTTTTATTCCACTTGACTAGATTCATATCTATTTTAATAATTAAACTTTTTCATTTGTTTCCAACTCTTAAAATTTTAGAAATAACCACTAGATGTGTTAGCAGTCACAAATGCCCTTACATTGGCATATTATGTCAATAGATAATAGGTTAATAGGTGACCAGGTCAACAATACACCAAAGCGGGCGGGATGCCACCTTTGAAATTTAAAAATTCAGCCCTTCAACCATGCAATCATATTTTGTTCAGATTATACTATTCAGTTGCACCCAAACAACCAGCCAGGATAGCAAAATACCATCGATGTGGCAAACCTTAAAGATACTTGGGTACTTGTTAATTTCACATGTTGCACTGTGACTTAATAAGCAAAAGCAGCTGGTATTACTGAACCAGCTTTACTGGGTTTTGCACTGGATAACCCAGCCCTGGTTAAAGATGAAGAGTATCTGTATCTGCAGATTTAAATGCAGTAATTAAGTCACCAGTTGAACAGAAGACTAGGACGAAGGAACCCGACAAACCTCTGGAAAGGCATGTCATCTCCGGTCATTTCCTGTAGCCCCTCCAGGACATGACGATAGGCCTCAAAGTATGCAGTGGTTTCCACCATGAGGAAAGAGTGGGAGGCCTGCACCCCTGCAAGTGCCGCCCGGCTCTCCCTGACAAAGCTCAGCTGCACCTGGCCCTTGCACAGCTCAGCAGGGTCCCGGTCTGACACCGTGGCGAACAGGAAGGTGTCGAAATTGTCCCGGGACATGCAAACCAGCGACCCATACAGCAGCCTCTTGGAGTTCTGCCACCGGACAAACTGAAGGGGGAAAATTAAAAATAATTCACGACTGACGAATAATGGTTCTACACTTTTGCAGAACAATTGCTGGTCTCCTTTAATCTGGCCATTGTCAACTGGAGGGTGTTAAAATGTCCCCAAGGTACAGGAGTATGCTGTGTAATGGCTAACCCTCCATATGTGCCTTTTTATAATCATACTGACCAAATGGTTAACTGCCTCTTTAGCAGAAGGTAAAGTGTCTGACTTCCAAGTTTGTAAAATCAAATTAAAAGCCCATTTAGACTAATTCTAGTCCTACTCCCTATATAGAACACTACAATGATATCCTGGTCTACAGGGAATGCTTTCTGCTCTGGCTGTTTTGTCTGCATTGACAGAGTGCTGAATTTCAATAGAACAAATAATGGTAAATTCTGCATTTTTCCTTTGTCATTCCAAACAAGACAGCTGTATGTGATGTGTGCTTGCCAAGTGACCAAAATGGAAAGCCCCCTTCATGACACCGACTCCTTAAACCCCAGGTGCTGAACCTGACTCACCTTCAGTGGACGTGGGTCGAACTGCACTTTGTAGGCAGTGCCTGTTGGGGTGCACAAGGGAACAAGCAGCCGGGTGTCAAAGTAGACTCGGATGTCATCAAAGCGCTTCTTCTTTAAGGGTACCTGAGCCAGGGTGTGTTCTTGGTAACTCTGAAGGAGTTCCCGGATGCCCTCGCGCAGGGGGCGGACAAAGTCTTCTCGCAGGAGACGGAAGTGCGTGTCCAGGTACAGGTGGAGATTAGGATATCTACGGGAGGTGACGTTGGGACGCAAGAAGGGCTTCTCTTCCTGGTGGATCTCATCAGGATTGGGGTAGATGGTCATAGTATGGTAGTCCCCCTCCCCAGGTGGGGCGTCCTCGTCAGGAGTCAGGAAGGTGTAATTGTCAGAGCGTAGGGTACCGTCCCTAGCCTTCTCCTGAAGGTGAGCAGTAAGTCCTTGAATTTTATCCAGGTTCTGCTCTGTCTGGGCAGGAACATCCACCCCAGAAGCTCGTAGGCCATTGACTGTTGGCTTGAGAAGGGCCACCAACATAGATGCCACCTGGACAGAACTGGCTGGGAAAATACTGACCACGTCTGACAGGAGACTTACAATATTGTCTAAGTGCTTTGGGTATTGTGCCCGTCGAGCAGGGATGTGATCAGACATCATGCCAACAACATAGTGGGGCAGGACAGTCCGTAGAAAGCCTGAGTCCTTTACAGCCCCAGCTAAGTGCTGGACAATCCTGCGATCAGTTCGTGAGCCAATGGCTTTGCTCAGGACCTGGACTAGAAGCTGCACCATGTTGTGGCCCATTTCTGGCTCCTCCAGCAGAGCCCGCAGCCCTGCACTGGATGACAGAGTTATAGCCACCTCCGAGGCCTCCTTTCCAGACAGTTCTTCCAGGGTCTTGTACCCTAGCTTGCGGACCTCTCTGTCAGCTTCCAGTCCCCCTTGATCCCTCCCTCCTCTCCCTCTCCCACCCCCTCTTCCTCTACCTCGCCCCCTACCCTCACCTCCCTCTCCTCTACCCTCACCTCCCTCTCCTCTATCCTCATCTGCACCCCTGTCCTGTCCTCTTCCTCTGTACCCATTCCTGTTCTCTCTCCCTCTACCTCTATCTCCTACCCTTTCCCCTCTTCCTCTCGCTGCCTCCCCATCCCTGTCCACTCGCCCTCTACCTCCATCCCCCACCCTCTCCGCTCTTCCTCTCGCTCCATGTCCGTCCCTGTCCACTCGCCCTCTCCAACCATCTCTCTCCCTCCCATCATCCTGTTGGTTCCACCTTCTCTCTTCCCCACCTCTTCCTCTTCCTCCAGGGGCTTGGTTGGGCACCCGGTGGTCACCAGCACCTGGACACAGACACAGTGGAAACGGGGGGCTGATGAGTGGAAGCAAAAAACCCTTGCAAGTATGGCAAACAGATATAATTAAATAAAAATTCTTCAAATATATTTGAGAAGCATTTCATTATCCTTTCATAAAAGTATTGAATTGTAACTAGTCAACAATGGTCAACTTAACAATGATGTAGCTCTTAATTTAAATGTGGAATTATTTCTGTTTAATGGCTTCTTTAAAATCCCTTTCTGTCTCATAGTACCCCAAGGATTATGAAACCATGAACCATCCCAGAACTATTTGGCCATGCATCATTTTTTTCCCCCCAGAGAGGAAGCCCACAGCATAAAGTAACACAAATACAATACTAGACAGAGGGCTTGACACTTCCTACACTGACTTCCACTGATTACACAGCAGGCTCACAGGCACTCTAGCTGGCTTCAGACCTACCTAACTTGCAAGAGCATTCGTCCAATTGTGCCAATGTCCCTGGATAATCCTGCCACTACCAGCTAAAGATTTAGCACAGATTAAAGCCGGTCATCTCTGACCTGCAGTGCTAAATCTCCATTTCAGATCTAGATGATTTACAGACCGAGCCATGTGAAAAAAAAACAATTCTAGCATGAAGTGTCTTATGAAACCACAATTACCTCTTCTGTGCTCCACGTTGCCTCTTCCTCTCCCCCATCTCCTGTTAGGGTTGTCACCATTCATATTTTCTGACACCCCCTAAATTAGGCAGTGGGAAGATCAATTCAAAGACTGCTCCTAAGCGCTGATCAGCAAGGCAATTCCTGCAGAAACCGAGGGAGAGAAGAGAGATTATATTGTTCCAGACAAGGTTAAGAATATAGACTACAGACCGAGCAGGATAATCAATAAATTAATTGAACAATCATAATCCCCCAACTGTAAAGATTATGCTATGAATATATCTGAGCAGTTGGTATAATTACAGGTGCATGAGATCTTTGTTCTCTAGCAGAGATTTAGCATAAATAATAATTTGGTAATAAATCAGGCACACTGAATTAAACATATTTATTAATAATCACAATGACAAATACCAAACAACATACCACAGAAAATACAACATACATGTTACTCTATTTACAAACAAGGCATGTCGGAGATCTACATCCTTCCGACCAGAAAAACCCCAAACTGCTACCATGTATTCAAAATCCTATACAATACCTACACAGGCCAACAAGAGAGACATACCTGCTTTCTAAACTAGACAGAATATGACCTACAGTTAAATACCTCTACATATATATACAAATCTGGATGCTATGAAGCCAATGGAAAACCAATCTCCATATTCTAAAAATGCATCCACTAACCATTCTCTGTACAGGAAATCGTTAAAACAACTGAATGGCAAGCTCTTTTAAAAAGGCTGAAATACTACACCCAAATCTGTTCTTAACAATCGCACCAGACAAAGACCTCCCTCCTCCAGTATCTTACTTTTCTTGCTTCCTCTCTCTGTCCATCCTCCACTCTGTCTCCTGCCTCTTTCTTTCCTTTCTCCCCTCTCGCTCTGTTGATGAGTCTTGTCTGAATGATTTACCAGAACTTAATTAACTAAGGTAAATCTTACTATTTCTTTGATCAATTAGTTACAGACGCCCTACAACTCAGCAAGCACTGTTCCTTCCTTGCCCTGACGTTCCTATGAACTGCAAATGCTGACATTAGCCAGGTGTTTGACCATTGTCTTTAAAAATAAACTTTATTTAATATAGCGCCTTTAAAGGTGGCTTCTCAAAGCACTTTATAGAATGAGAATAATTTGCAAGAATAATTTAAATCCTAATACACCTCAGACACCCACTTCCACAGCTGTAACAACACTGACTCGTGTAAAATCAAATATATACAGTACCTCTGCATTAAACTAGCCTAAAATACTAGACAGAGGAAATGACACTTCCTGCACTGATCTACATTGATATCACAGCAGGCTCGCAGGCCTAACGATTTCATGCACAGGAGCGTGTTTTTAACTTGTAACTCTTTCTTGGGTCATATGATTAGAGATAACAAATTGCTGTCCTTTTCTGAATTATTTCATCAAACATCTCTTCGAGCAAAATAATTTGTAAATTACTAAAAACTTAAAAGTTTACTGTCTAAAACCTTTCCGTTAAGTGAATTAAAACAAGAACTGGATAATTACAGCAATAAACTATTGCAGACTAATATACAAGTGAAGGCTAGAACATTTTACAACCTTCTTAATGCAAGGTCAGACAAGTCTATTGATAGGTGTGTCTTTTGATAGGTGTATAGCAGTGGACAGCTGATCTCTGTGTAGGGTCAGAGGACTGGGATACTGTGTGGCATTATGTTAGTTATCCATTTAGTGCTATACATAACAAACTGCTTCAGTACAAAATTTTAAATAAACTCTATTATACCCCAGAAAAATTGAAAAAGATGAAGTGGCATAATACAGTTATGTGTTCCAAATGTAACACACATAATGGATCATTATTGCACTTATTATGGTATTGTCAGCACATACAGTCATTCGGGACCTCCTCCACAATGGGGAATGCTCTCGGGCACCTAAATATCTCAATTCCACTTACTACCATTTCATGTATCCTTGGTGATTTATCAAAGGTTAAAGTAGCTATTCAATATAAAATTACTTTTTTGACTCTTTGTATTATTAAAAAAATATATTGCGAAAATGGGTGGACATTATAGGACCGTCGTACAAGAATGGATTAAAGAGGCTGTATCACAAGTTAAATTTGAAAAGATTTAATATAATTTACAGGGGAAACGTAATGAGTATAGGAATGTTTGGGGTCCATTAGAGACATATTTGAATGGCACTGGTTGTTAAGAATATTAGTTCGAAGTTTTGTTTTAATTCATTTTTTTGTGACTGTAATTTTTTTTGTTGTAATTGTCTAATAAGAACAAAAATGAGAGAGTGAAAATAAAATACAAAAAAAAATAAAAATAAAGAAGTCCTCCAAAGTTGGGGGGGGTGGAGGTGGGTTAAAGAAAGAAAACTTCTCTTTCTTTATAAAACATAAATCAGTGTCAGTAATCACTTTAGGAGTCAGTATCAGATGAAGCCCAATCTATTAAAAACACCAATAAGACCTCTTTAGCACAGCAAATTATTTGTTTTATTTTATAATGAAAAGTAGTGCCTCATTTAAGATTCATGCAACCTTAAAGACAATATATTGGCTGAAATGTATTGATATTATAGTAAGGAATAAATAAGCCTGATTCTTTTTTTCCATGTACAAAAACCTGCCAATGTTTTCTTAAGGTAAACTCGATGAGTCACTGCATCAAGTTGGTACAGTCTCTGACATTTTACTGTAACATACTGTATTACATAGTTTACTAAACAACACATACTTGTTGCATAAACCAATGGCAACACAATAATCTAAACATTCTATTAAGATTTAAGCCTATAAAAAAATGTTTTATGTTTATGTTTTACGAATAAGTTTTTAAAATATGTAGGTAAAGCTTATTTAGGTTATGGAACAAACACAATTTGACCTCATCTTGTTATACAGAAAATGTCACTCAAACTATCCAAGGGCAGGTACATTATTTAAAACAATAACCGTCTTATTCTCTGCTATAAGTTAAAGAGGGGTCCACTGGGTAGTTTGTCAACTTTTCTTTTCAGCTTCTAGAGCACAGAGTGTAGACATAATTATAACAAGACAAAACTGACTAAATGCAAGTTTTGTTTTGTTGCACTGTAATTGATACCACTGGTTGTTGGCATGTGGCTTTTACTAACAGTATACTTGGGTCCAATATATTAAATTCACGTTTATTTTTTCCTCTGAAAGACATAGCATTTTATGTGGTGATGATTTATCATTGACCTCTCTGCTAAATTGTCTTTTGCACTTCCAAACATTCATGGCAATTGACAGATTGCAGGTCTAATCTAGATAAACAGGAGCTGCTGTAAAAATAGGCAACTTTAAGCTTAGCAAATTAAATAATATTTGAAATGCACCGATGTGTAATGATCAAATTTAAAACTAAATATGCAAATAGTAATGCTTCTAGTATGTTTGAATTTAAACATCCTAGAAGCATTTCTATTTGCATATTTCATTTTGAATTTTAAATAATTATATTTAAACATCTAATGAAAACTTTATCATTTGGATTAAGTGTATATGAACCCATGCCTCCCTGCCACACTAACTTCTGCACTTTTTATCAGTGTTCCAGTTTTAAAAGTTAAATCGGCTATAGGCAGTCCACAACAAGCATCCTGAAATAGTTTTGTGGCATTTTACAGCATCAGTAGGTTGCTTTTTAGCAAGTTTCAGCAACGCAGGTGGTTATTGTTTTATCAACGGATTTGTTCAGAGGAGAAAAAAAGTCTAGTTAAGACGAGAAGAAGCAATACAAACATCTTTTATAGAAGTTGCATCAAAATGATCAAAATGACAATTTAACAAATCCAGCTGATCTGCCAGATTCTTACAAGGCAGCATGGGAAAACTATCTGTTAAAGAGACCAACACCATTTGCATATTACAAAATTGCAATATTTTCTGCTGTTTTCCGTTTTTGTTCAAACACACCCTCAGTTCTTTGAATCTTACACCCACTCTTGCCCTGACTCATTAGCACACAGAATCTCCCCATGCGTGCACATCAGACCACAAACCATTCCCAGACAAATAAAACAAAAGCATATGAACTGAGCTCAGCTACACAAAGGGAAACACAAGCAAATATACGCTTAAATAACTTCAGACCTCCAGTCCTTGAGAACTCAAAGACACAAGACAGGAACAGAACAGAATCTCACTTTGAAATTTGTTTCACTTTCCATTTCTCAGGAACTGCTGTAGGTGTATCTGTTACACGGAATTTCCAAGGAAACCCCGTCCTCTACAAAAGCAGAAATACTGTGCCCCTTTGCCTCTTAAAAATGCATGTGATTATATTGTTACAAACTATGGGAAATCAAGAAAGAAAATAATTAAAATAAATAAACCTGTATTTGGACCTGAGCTATAGCAAACATTTGTGGTACCTGAGTTCTTTCTTCTCTTTCACAGCTCATCCAGAAGAGTAATAAAACCAGAGTGAAACTTGTCAAGACTAATGTTTATCGGCATAACACAACTGCACAACACAATTATTTATTTAATTGCTGTTTCATGCTGGTACAGTAGTTTCCTAGTTGCTGACATTATGTTCATTCTGTCACACGCGATGTTGACATTTTTCCGCAGACGTATATCAAAGCATTATAGCAAGATTCCCTTTTTATCATTTAGCAGAAATAAAATGTACAATTGTTTTTGAATCGACGTCGGCGTCTGTTATGGTCCTGGCTGATGTGTCTGTACTGTCAAGCTTGCTATGCAATGAGTGTTAAAAGCTACTCTGACGCGTACTGTACCCAATAGGGTGAAAGGGTTCAAAGTGGGAACATTAGAATACCATCAAATATCGTTATCGCTATGTCGCAGAAATCAATAATTAAACATATTTGAAATACAGAAACGAACTGACTAACCCTTTTTTCTTAAGGGTGAACCGGTGCCCAGCCCGGTTATGCTTCCGCAATGCACTGACAAGTACCATGCAAAAACAATGCATACTCATCTCAGAAGCTACATAGACCAGAACAAGTTTTTCCTGTTTCTCTCGATGCACAGAAACAACTAGTAAAAGTCTAACCCAGTACGGCTCGGCTCGGTCTCCACGTTGGAGTTCAAGCGTTAACGGGAATAAATGTGTTAGCTTTGACCCGAAGAGAGAAGTACATTCTGCCAAGACATTAATAAATAACATACCTGTTTAGAAAGATCTCATGTCGGGTGAAAAAAACAAAACAGTGTCAGAGAGTGTACTGTTCAGATCCCCCATTTAGGCTTCATTTTTCATATTTAGCTGAACCTTAAATCGAGCACTCCAGTTAGCAACAGTAAAACAAAGTAGCTTTAATGATTCTGTAAACAAAAAAAAAAAGTCTCCGACATAAGCCGTAGTGGGCTGGTTTCTTCTCTCCTTCTCCTTTTCTCGGATATCTCATATGTTCATTCGAAGCTGTGGTGTTGATCTAAAACTCCTCGTCTCTTGCTGGGGTTATAATTAGTTGTCTATCCGGGATATTCCTCTTCTGATGCTCTGTGCCCGTCCGGTTCAGTTTCGGTTTTCTTTTTTCGTGAACTGCGTAACAGCGTCATCTCACACCCAACCACACGCTATTGTGACAACAGCCAATCGACACTAGAGCCTGTATTCTTAAAGAGCCCCATGTCATTAAAAAAACCATTCGGGAAGTTTATTTCTCGCAGAACACTCTCGGAAAAAACAATTCTACCATGACATGTTTGGTTAGATCAATCATGTAAAACTGACATCTGTATAATTTTTAGAAGCAGACTTTCGTAAGGTTAAAAATTAAGGGATGATCCAAGTGCAGTAGAGACTTGAATTAATAATTTAGTTTAACGGAACTGCTCTTGGCAGTGTTTTAAGGTAAGTAAAATTATTCGACCAATAATATCTTGTAGTAAGAGCTTTTTCGATTGTGATAACATTAGGGTTTGTTCATGTCAATAGGAGGAAATGTACATGTATTTTTCATTAGCACGGTCAGTGTATGCACTGAAGATGTGATTTCATTTCTAAGCCTATTGAATGAGGATACCAGAAAGAAAAATACTGCAGTGTCAATTTAATAACCTTTAATATACTTTCCCAATACAGCATGGACCTCTGCAGCTTCATTGCAACATCCCAGAATCTCCCCTAAATATAAATGTTTTCTCACTTGATCTTACTCTTTCCAAGCAATGCAGACTCTTGCTGTTCTACAGTTTTAGGGATGAATTGTTTGCTCCAGTCAAGGTCATTCTGATCCATTTATCTCCAGCACTCAATTCCATCATTTCACATGCCTCCAACACCCTGTCCCTGAAAACTGCATGGACCTTCTGGTTCTCATCCCAACTCCGATCTCTCATCATTGGTTCACAGTTTGGTGTCAGATTCTATTTAACCATGCACTCGTCAAAATTGATAGGAATTTAGCACATTACGAATGAAGACATCCCTGAATTAAAAACTATACCATTTGAAGGAAGGGGGTCTTCTCTTTCTATCCAAAATACTTGAGGGAGCAGGAAGAAGCGGACATTTTAAAAGTGACCACATTTTTAAATGATCTGATTTATAATGAATCAATACACAGCATACCAAGGGCTTGTCCATCTGTATAAGATGCGACTCAGTTTGATCCAGTCAGGATTTGTTTCACCTGACTTGATTTACTCAGAACAGAAAGGCACACATTATCTGTGCGGTGGCTCTGTGGCTAAGGATCTGCACCTGTGGCTGGAAGGTATATAAATGGCTGACTCTGCGCTCTGACCCCAAGCTTCTCTCCCTGTCTGTGTGTCTCATGGAGAGCAAGCTGGGGTATGCGAAAAGACAAATTCCTAATACAAGACATTGTATATGGCTTGTATAAGTGATCTTATCTTATCCCAACAAAGCAAGTTCCGTAACTCCAGAAGGAAGCACAAAAAACAGTGGATTATAGGCCTTGCATTTGGAACACTGCAATAATCAAATAATGTATACCTCCATTAACTTTTCTGAAAACATTTATTTAACTGTGGGTCTTTCATGGCGAGAACTGCCTCAAACCTCAGTTGTGAGTCTAGATGGCAGTGGATTAACTGTGAATTGGCGGCCACACTTAGTCGCCTGCAGACCAAGGAACTGCAGATATAATGTCCATGATTTTAAGGATTTTCTCAGGTCTTATTGTCCACCACTGAAAAACACTTTTCTTTCTTCACTCTGAGACTCTTCTTCACGGTCAAAGCATCACTTCTTCATTTCCGTCGGTACCTGAAACACCGAAATGGCAAAGAGGATATTTCAGAGAAGAACAACCTTGTCTACTTGATTATGTCAATAATCTGAACAGAGCACACCACGTTTCCTAGCCAGTGAAGGATCTTATGAAAGCCCTGCCTTCAAAAGCACCGTAAAAGGTTATCTATACTGTGACATTCATAGCAATGTTATGAAAAAAACAAAACCCAATAACTTAAAATCATGCTGTAAACTCTACTGAAAAATACCCTACTGGGACAAAATACCAGTTGCTGCGTGGCTACAGCACTGAAGAACCACTCTAGACATGCTTCATGTCTCTGCCTCTGCCTTTACAATTGTATAGTGACTCTAAAAAACATAATACCTCCAGTTCTGTAGCTTTGAAAATTCAAGAAATGGTATAAAGAGGCTCAATTACATTTTACTGAGCAATTTCAACAATGTGAATGCTATAATCACAGTCTGGTCAAAAAATCAGGATGAAAAAAATCCAGCAAATAAATTCATTTGTATGATTAAGCCTTAAGACTTAAAAATTTAAAAATGGATCATTAGCAGAGTGCTGGGACCTAACATGAGAAATGATGCAGAACAGAGCAGGAGATCATAAGTTTTAAAATTCTTACAACCCTCTATATAACATGGTTTGATTTACTAGTCTACCTGCCACCTGAAAAGGTTTAAGCTGGCAAGGTTTAAGCAATCTCAGGGAAGCTTTTATGAGATGAGCTACATCTGTAAATTCACTGCAGAGAGAAAACGTGGCAATCTACACTTTTGTATGTTCCAGATTATATATATCAAAAGAAAACACATTTCTGCCTGATTCATAACTAGACGGCATCAGAAATCTCAAACTTCATGCCCTGTCATGCTCTGTCCCATGTGACGAAGCCATTTCACTGACAGGAGCTGGCTGTGTGGAACATACTTGGCTTTGGATTTGAAGCGACCTCCCTTCTTGTGGGAGGGCAGGCCCAGCCTCTTCCTGTCTTCAAAGGAGGGCCTGGGAAGAGAGAGATCATGCAGTGAATACCGTCATTCCCCCTTCTTTAAATATATGAAATAATTATTTCCATCTGCAATTTATCAAGCTTAACCGCTAAGCATTCATCTAGCATTTTATTGGCAAGGAAAGAAGGGGTTTTCTTTCCGTAAAACAAACTTGCGTATCAATCGCAAGAGATCAAGATCCAGGATGTCACCAGATCTGAGCTGTGGTGCAACGTCAGTGTAGCATCTTGAGATGCATTTACAGAAGTGTGTTGAAATGATACCCCTGTGTGCCACAATTCGAAAAGGAACAAGAGACATTAAAATTAATGAGGGAGTCTGTTATGCAAGTGAGGTTATATTTTGTTTCAAGATGAAACTCTTAAAGAGATACAAGCATAAGTTGTGCATAAGGCAGTAAAAGTTAACACACAACATAAATGTCGTATGGGCCACTCCTAGGTAATTATGATGATCACAAGTTCAAGAATATCTTCACTTCTCTGCTTCTCCTTTTGGACAAAGACAATTCTTTTTGAGATTTTGAGATTTGCTACTCTGTTCCAGCTATTTAAAGAAAAATAATTCTGGACTGTGAACCATGTGGGTGCACTCTGTCTTCTTACAATATAATCTCTTACTCCTCACCCACTTTCTCAAAACTCAAGCTGTCATGAACAAAATGAAATGAAAAATGTAATTCTGGCCAATATTTTATCTGAATTTCTGTTGTAATTTCTGCCTTTTAAGGTGAGGGGATTTGCCAGAATGAGTCAACCCAAATAAAAAAAAACACACATTTTGAATAATATGAATATTAATAATATGACAGATAACTTTGGATTTGATTTTCATAGATGTAGTCATATAATTATTTTATTTTCGCCAGCACTGTTACTATTGATTACAGTACTCATTTCATGCTACTAAAGTGGCTTCTGATATCAGTCATTAATAGTATTATAGAAACATAAAATGGCTGTAGATAACTAATACTGAAAAGCCCTGGAGCTGATTTAGATACAATTGGTTTCACATTCTGTTACCTACCCCGCACGGTATTGTTTCAGAGCCTTCTTGCTTGTGTTAGTCAGCTCCTTGTCAAACACAGACTTCTTCCCAGACTGGCGGGTCTTCTGCTTCTCTGCAAGAGGTCAAAGAGCAAAGACCATCAGGGATATTCACTCAAGAGACCTCTCTGGACAATCTCAACACTTCCCATATGATTATATGACATTAGGGAGCGTAGGAAACATAGCAAGGTGGGAAATACTTCATTTATGCAGTTCTATGTGTGTGTGGAGGTATTTCCCTATGGCTGAGGATAAATTCCTTTCCACCAAGATCCACCTTTCTTCAAAATTTTCAAAGACATCTTGAAACCGACCCACTAGTTTTCAACAGGAACAAAATTGTGACATTCCTACAGCCCTTTACCTGTGAGATAAAAAACAAGATTCTCTTAGCCCACAAACTTCTACCCAGGAAGTGAACCGAAAGGTGAAAGAGACACTTACCATTTTGCACTGGCTCATCTTCAAGAATGGCCCTAGCTCGTTTGGGCTTGCGATCTCGTTTGGCCACCCTCTCTGCATACATCTGCGCTTTCAGTATCTCAAACTGGGCTCTGTCTTCTGCCTGGAGATGAGGGGAGAGATGCACGGAATGCTGGGAAACTCGTAGACCTCAAAATCTACAGGACGCGACTGTTTATGTGGCAGAGTCAATGCAGACAGCAATGTGGGTCAGTGGTTAAGAGACGAGAGAGAGAGAGAGAGGGGGTAAGGAGGCTGGTGGATAGTGCTGAGAGACTAGAAGAGAAGGTGAAACCCAGAGGAGGTGTGGGCTGGTTGTTAAAGGTTAGGTCAGCTCAGCCTTATGGGAAGAAATCTTACTGTCAATTCTTTCTTCTTGCTCTCCTTGACGAACTTCTGTCTCTTCTTCTTGCTTCTCAAAGCTAAATCGAATTCCTGTAGGACTTTTGTCACTTAGAAAGAGGAAAAAAAGAGGGAAAGGAATAAGCAGAGACCTCTTTAATTCATACAGAAGTAGCATACAACTGCTTCAGCCCCTGAGTTTTATCTCCTAGGTATGGGCATGTCAGACATTTCTGATCATTAACCTGCTCGGAGTTGTTTAGAGAGCTACAGAAGGACAACAATTAAATCAACAACTTGAAGACGGGCTGAAACGGTTCCCAATTTACTTGTCAACAGTACAAAGCTAGTTGCATGGCCGCTCCATTTTATTAGACAAAATAAGGATTTCCAGGAGAACATCACATTAGCCTTTGCGCTGTCAGCAGGAGCAGGTGCTTTAAAATACACCTTTCCCCCAGCCTGCAAATCGGAAAAGCGTCCGCTCCTTACTTCCTTACTCCTTACTTCGTGTGCTCAAATGGAGTTAGTGAATGCTCAAAATGAAATACTTTAACAGCTTTTAACAGAAAACGCTCAAGTAGAGGGCAGTATTTTCATGGAGAACACAGATGGTCTCCATTTCTAAGCAGTGGTGCAATCCGGAGTGAGTGACAGCAGTAGGTTTGAAATGAGGAGAAGAACTGGCGAATGTTTCCACACTGCTGTCCATCGGATTTCAGCACGCCCTCCTACAAGTTTGCCTCGAAATCCCCTCGCCTGCTCTCCTTCTCCTGACTCATGTCCATCATCAGCGCCGCCCCCTCCTTCCCCTGCCTCTCTCCAGACTCACTTCGCTCCTTCTTGCGCTCCTCATGGGTCTGAAACCACGTCCTCTGTGGCTGTGTCTCCTCGCTGGCCTGGGTCAGACGCTTCTGAGCTGAACTGATCTAAAACAAAAGCACATACATACACACTAGTACACAGAGCCATAATTATTGGTGCACTTCGAAATCTTCATGAAATACTGTTATGCTACCTTATCTTGTATACTACAAATTTGATTGTGGAGCTTGATTGCAATCGTAATATTTTAATATAAGTTCATATTACTTTCTTATACATGTACACTCCTCCTCTCCTTTGTTGGATTCACTAAAGAAAACGCTAGCTAACCAGCCTACCAGCCTTATAGCCTCCTAACATTTGTAACCTTTCTTCTCTTACAGTATATCCCAAATCTGAACATTTCTCTCATCCACAGCACTCCTGAATATCTTGGCGCCACATGGAGGGATGATGCCTCTCTCCCTGATGTCACTGCAAGCTTGCAGGCACCCAGCAATGTTGCAGGAGGAGCTGAGAGACTCGAACCAGCTCCTGCCAGCTCCACCCTGGCAGTGGTCTGCCAATACTGCACCAACACCTGGAGCCCAGGCCAGTCGATTCAGACTCAGAGTGCTGCTGCCTGGGCTGTAAAACTCCATCTACACTCCGAGACAGAGTCTTAGTGCCAGGCACTCAGGAGCCTACTGGGTATTTGTTTTTTAACCCAGAGATTAACCAGAGATTAAATGTAAAAAAACACTTAACATCAAAAGGCTTGATTTCATGTTTTGATGAGTTAAAGAACTTTATAATTGATAATTGTGCTGGAAGAAAAGTCAGAAGTGATGAGGGTTCCCCTGAAACAAGCCAAAGAAATGCTACTTCGGATAGCTGCTCCAATGCCCTACCTGAGCCTCCGACTTGATCATCTCGCGCTCTTCTTTTTCCAGTTGCATTACTGAGTAAATGTCTTTCTCCAGCTTCTCGATCCGGTCGCGGAATTTAATTATCACCTCTGGAGGACGGACAGAGAGGCAGAGAAAGACAGGCAACGGGAAAAGACAATAAGGGAGTTTTACAGCCGAAAGGAGGAAGGCAGTGTGGGGAATTAAAGGACAAAGACGAGAGAGAAGATGACAGGAAGAGTAAAAAACCACAAGAGGAATGGGACAGCACACAAAAAAAGAAGGAATGAAGGAAGAGTAAAAAAATGAGCAGAAGAGAATTAAAGGTGAAAAGGAGGTAGAATGGGACAGGAAGAGAAATTCATTATAGAGTAACACAACTAATTTACATGAAACATACATCATTCCTAATTGCAAATAGGAAACAGCACCATGCATCATACAGTACAGAATTAGCTAAGCACAGTTATCCCTAAAGGAGACACATAATTCTACACAGCCCTAGAAGATTCACGAGACTGTGAAAAAATAAACTACCTGGTTTATGTTTGAAGGAATTGTTATAAATGGGGTGTCCTCCAGGTACTGAGTGAATACAACACGTCACTAACAAAATAAAGGCTGATCAGCCATGATTATCAAGTAATGAATTAATTGTGTTTCTCCTTACATACCACTTACTTTTTTTTCAGAAAGGGGAGCTTATAAGGAGAGAAAGTGTCCAAAATCATAAGATTGCACCAAGAGGTGGAATTTTCACTTCTTCTGTCTTTACTGATAGAGAAGAGTCAAGCAGCTGGAACTCAAGCTGCACTTAAAACTAGTCAGGATGCGAACCCCCGACGAGACCAGAGACAGAAATGAAACCGCTGAAGATCCTGTGATCTTCAGTGGGCAACAGCGCTGTAAAGAGCAGAAAAATGGCGATAAAACTCAATTTCTCTGAAACGCAAGATGGAATTAGTGCAACTCTTACCCTGTGGCACCACCCGGGCTTTGACGGGGGCCTTGGCTTTCTTGACGATCTCCTTCAGCATCTTTCTCTCCGTCTCCCCCACCAGCGAGACGGAGCGCCCCGTCTTGCCCGCGCGGGCCGTGCGCCCCACCCTGTGCACGTAGTGCTTGACGGTGTTGGGCATGGTGAAGTTGATCACCTGGCAGACCAAGGAAACAGCATCTGGCGTCAGCCCCTTCTCCTCCCCACATCCCAGGGCAGGAGCGAGTCGATAATTTTACTCAACAGAGCGTACGCAGCTTGGTGCTTAACTCTAAACAAAAAGGGTCACTATCGCCGATTAAAACTACCACTATAAACCGTACACCACTGTGTGCTTTAGAACAGAGAAACAAATGCCACGTAAAGACAGCTTTAATTCCAAAACAAGTCACTTTCCACGTTTACAAGTATTTTTAAATCCCTTCTGCTATCCACCTCACTCTACCCAGCCCCTCCATCTTTAAGATTAACCACAATTGTCATCTCTGAAGCAGGGGAGACTGAAGCACAGCTGTGCAAGATGTTTGGCAAAAATAAAAAGCATTTCTGCCACTCTTGCCAATATGACACAACTTTGTCAGACCTCATTGTTGGACGTCCCTTGTATTAGTGTACGGGCAGTTTACCCTTGCCAGAGGTAAGGGGTCCATCAGTAAGAGAGCAAGAGAAAATCTCACCGTCTTCACCCCATCGATGTCCAGCCCTCTGGCTGCTACATCTGTGGCCACCAGGATGTCAATCTGCTCATCTTTAAAGCGTCTGGGGAAGGAGAACAAAATGCACTTCAGAGTGTAACCAAACAGAAAAACGTACCTACCCAGCAGGCTGGGTTGTAACAGCAGAAAAAAAAGAAATCAGCACAAGTCCACTACGTGCTTAGGGCAGATGTGTGTGGGGGATGCTGGGATAGGTGGGCAGCTTCTTACCGCAGGGCCTCCAGCCTCTGGGTTTGCGACAGGTTCCCATGCAGCTCCCCCACCTTCAGCCCCATCAGCCCCAGCAGGATGTGCATGCGGTGGGCCTGCTTCTTGGTCTGGATGAAGAGCATCACGTGGTCCTGGAACGTCCGGGTCAGCAAGGCTGATTGAGACAGACACGCAAGGGGTCAACAAACACACACTCAGCGGGCCAACGCAGTCACACTTAATGGACACACACAACTACAGAAAGCAGCGATACTCTTAACTCAAAACTCTGTACAAAACACAGGTGTGCCCCAGAAGAGCCAATACAGAGCGGTACTACCCTCTCCTACCCCGAAGCGGTCTCTGCCTCCCCCCCACCACCGATCCTCACCACACACGACGGCCTCTCTGTCCCCCTCACGGGCCGGTCTGATCCGCACAAACTCCTGCCGCAGGTAGGGGGCCACATCCGTGTTGCTGTTCACAAAGATCCTCACTGGCTGCTTGAGAGACACTGAAGCCAAGTCCTTGACCTGAGATGAAGAAAAAAAGAACAACGTCACTGAGACCCAGCTCAAGTCATCTTGGGGCATATGAATTGTCCGTTGTGAAAAAAGAAAAAAAAAAAAGAGAACAGATGCACAATGTCCATCGTGGCCCATGCTTCTTTTTTAAAAGCATTTAAACATACTCATGTAATGCCACAAGTAACGGGGCTGTGAACTACAACCCAGTGTCTGTATGGTACAGTTCAGAGATATGTCAACCTGGTTTCATGCTACTAATTTAATTTAAATGGAATTGGATACCCATTATAATCTTAACATTGTTTGTCCTAATGGGTACAAAATCCACAGTGACCATCATATGGTACAGGCATAAAAGTGCCTCATCTTTAATGGGGATTCCGTTTCTCTCTGCGTGACAGATGTTCGTGTCTCTTAGTCAGTACCTCTTCGCTCATGGTCGCAGAGAACAGCATGGTCTGGCGCTGGTAAGCACACAGCCTGATGATCTCCTTCATCTGCTCCTCGAAATACTCGTCCAGCATCCTGCAACACAGCACAGTGATCACAAGCTCCATGAGCCATACCCCTGGCCAAAGGCTTGCTGGCGTGGAGAGTTCAGGAACACCCCAAACCGAGCTCTCACACTGCTACACAACCAAGATTACTACTGCACCTCCAGTCAACTTAACGGTGCATTCGCTCTTGATTTACGAGTGGTGCTGAAGACATTATGCAAATATTTTAATATTAAGACAGATCTGCATTACAGTACATAATCCTAATCCTTACTTTCTTCTTCGTTTTATTAGCCAATAATCTAATTTTAAATACAGAGTGATGCAATTTATTTTCTACATCATGCAGTCTAAATGAGAGAGAGAAACTTTTAAATTATGCCAGACAGACTGACAAAAAGCATTATGAAATGAGAGCTGATATGATTGACCAGGAACTTCTGTTTTGTCAGGCTACACTATCATTGTGACATGAACATTGTTTTAATGAAACTACATTTGTTGTTAAGGTTAATAACTAAAACCTGAAAATGGTAGAATGCTTAAAGAATTATTTTTTTCCAAATGGCTCACCTTTCACTTCTTCCCAAATCGCAGCTTACACAATACAAAAACTGCTGCAACAGTTCTTCAGTGTTTAACCGTTAATAAGAGCGTCCTAAAAGAATCTCATCCCAAGTCCATCACAAAAAAAACACATTCCATACAATCAGATCTGTTTCAAATCAAAGCTACAGAACACTTAAATAACAGAGACAATAACATCAGGAATTCCACTATAACAACCCCAAGATGAAGAACCAACGCTTCATTCAGATTAATACTAAATAATGTACTCGTGGGTGACATTTCTTGAATGAATACAAAACATTAAAAAGGTAACGAACTGAATGTGACACATTCAGATTTCCTTCCCCTCCTGCCACTCAAACATACCGGTCAGCCTCGTCCAGGATGAGGATCTCAATGTGGCTCAGCTCGAAGCTGGGCGTGTTGTGCAGGTGGTCAATCAGACGCCCGGGTGTGGCGATCAGCACGTCTGGTCCAGCCCGCAGCGCGGCCTCCTGGGACTTCAGGTCCAGACCACCTGACACAAAGGAACAGGACACAGGTTGAGAGCTATCTACGTCTGGAATTAAAACGTTAACGTCCTCAAAGATGAGCCTTGTGACTCCGGACTCGGAGCGTGTGCGCTGTGGAGGGGAGGATAAAGGGTGTGTGATTACTCGCGCTTACCCACTGCCAGGCAGGTGGTGACGCTGGTGAACTGTGCCAGTTGGCGGGCGACTGAGTGCACCTGGATGCCCAGCTCACGGGTTGGCACCAGGACCAGCACCCGGGTCACCTGTGTCTGGCGGGGCTTGTAGATCAGCCGCTCCAGGACTGGCAGCATGAAGGCAGCCGTCTTACCTGAGAGAGGGACAGCGGGGGAAGGATGAGCAGGAGGGAAACGGACCAGGAGCGTGGTGAAAGATGGAAACGGAGTGTGAGAGAGCGAGCATGTAGGCAGGAGAGTTAAAAGAGGGCAGGAGCAGGGAGACAGGAAGACGGAAAGCAAGACATGGAGGAGAAGAGAGAAAGAGACAGGGGAAGCAGGGAGAATTAAGGAAGGAGAGCGAGCAAAGAAGAAGAAAAAAGGCAAGAGGAGGAAGGAAGACAGAGAGATGATGAACAAAGAAAGAGCTTCAATATTTACAGCAAAAAGTCAGAACAAATATCAGAAAAGAATTACATGGATGATATTTAAACAAATGGGTAAATCCCAGTGCTATACTTAATATTTCTGCTGGTTATTCCTGAACATGCAACTTGCTAATCAGCCATGTTGGTTTTTTCACAGTCCTAAACTGCTAACAAAAATGTAACATCAGTATAACCTCAAACTGCAAGGTGACTAACTGCTGAGTCAGCCCTAAAAAGCAGAAAATAACCCTATATTTTACATCTTCTGAGAAACCCGTGCCACACAAATGTCAAGAAAGCGTTTCTCCCTAATGCGGTTTGCTACGCCTAAACCTCAAACACAATTTTACGCAGAAAAATTAAATTTTACTTTCATGCATATGCAATCTGAACACTCAATGCAGCTAGCTGCAGATTACGAGTGAGACAATTTGGTCAGGTCCTTTTTTCCCCAGAATGGGTTTATGGTAAAGTCCTATTTATATGCACATCATCCTTCAAGGCTTCTAGTGGTACTCAGTTAGCGGTTTAATTCCCAGCCTGCGCCCAAGTAACTCACCTGTCCCGGTGGCTGCGCAGGCACAGATATCCTTGCCCAGGAGGCCCACAGGCACACAGGCTTTCTGAATGGGAGTGGGCTGCTTAAACCCCATTGCAGTGACAGCCTAGGAGAAATAGTCAAAAGGCTTTTTATTGGTCAAACCTGGATCTGTGTTCTGTGCTTTGCAAACATGCAGTGACGTTTTGTGTTCATATACAGTATCTGCAGTGTGTGAGTTTTCAGAAGGGGTTGTGGGGATGAAGCGAGCAACCCAAGACACTCCTTAAATGGTGTGAAGTGTGAGGGACTGATGCTGAATCTGGATGGGATGTGTATGGCGCAGAGAGTGCAAACGCTGATAAAGTGTGCATTAGGATCTAGATCTGTTTATGTGGACGAATAACCCGATAAGAGATGGCAGTTTCAACAGCCTGGAAGGGAAGCAAGGAAAGAACAAGAAGGACCGCAGTGAACAATGAAACAAAGGACAAGTACTGCAAGGCATAAGCAATTTCTTGAAGAAGTGTGTAATAAGCGCAGGAGCACATGTGAAACACATGTGTGACAGCATGTGTGAAAGGTGTGAGTTACAGTGCATATGAATTAAGAGATAAGATCACTTTATTGGCCATATATAATTTCTTGCATTAGGAATTTTTCTTTTCGCGTACTCTTGCTCTCCGTGAGATACACAGGCGGGGAGAGAGACGCTTGGGGTCAGAGCGCAGGGTCAGCCATTTATACGGCACCCTTGGAGCAGCTGGGGTTAAGGGCCTTGCTAAGGGGCCCAACGGAGTTGGATTCCTCTGCTGGCCATGGGATTTGAACCGGCAACCTTCCAGCCACAGGCACAGATCCTTAGCCACAGAGCCACTGCTCTGCCCCTAATTGGTGTATTTGCATTTCAGTTAAAGTGCTGTTCAGGACACATTCATGTCTGTGTTATTGTGTGCGGGTTTTTAAATCAACAGCACAGATAGGAGTGCTTTCATGTGGACCCACAGGAAAGATGTGTGCTACAGGCCTCAGGCCACAGCCCACAGCCTGCTGGATGTGTCTGGGGGGGTAGGTGATCCTCACCACACAGCACACTGCACACCGAGCGTGCGTGACTCACCTTGAGCAGTGGCCTGGACAAGTTCATCTCCTGGAAGGTCAGGCTCTCGTCGTACTGTGAAGCATCCTCAAAGAAGGCCTCAGGAGGCTAAGGAGAAACACAGAGCACAGACTCAACAAAAAAAAAATCATTCTCAGTGTTTACATAGGGCATTTCATCCTGAAAGTTCCCAAAGAGCTGTAGAGGCAGTAGAGGGACTCGCATCATTAACAACCGAAGTGCAGCACATGGTGGAATGTTACACAGCAATCATTCTGTGCCAGACTGCACTTCAGGCCTTATTAGATACAGAGGAGGTAAGTAATTAAATTACAGTGAGACTTGCAGATCTTCTAGACTGAAGTAGCCCAGGGAACAGGGGACAGCAACCCTACTCCGTGAAACAGTGTGCAAGATATTTAATGACTATAAGTCGCCATTAACTCTGGACTCAAACGAAAGATAGCTATTATAGCCCAGGGTCATTTGTCACTATGCAGAGGCACTGGAGTGGAATTTCTGAAGGAACAGTGCCACCTGCTGGTCAAGCCACATTACTTTCTGCAGCAACTCGCCCCTTCTTGGTGGATGACGACGCAAGAGCTGAGCAGTTCGGGTTTTAACAGCAGGCAGACCCAGTTCGCTGGGGCACACTCTGCTATTTCAGGAATTTAATAGTGCGAGTTATTTCATCTACACCTACAGGGCGGATATGTGCTGCCAGAGCCCAGCTGTGTCGGGTCTGCTGACATAGACCAGGGGAAGTGATCTCAGCTCACCCAACAGCAGCATCCCAGGGAGCTGTGTGGGACAGCTGTGACCCTGTGGTGTTTTCAGGAGGACTGGGGTCAGTCTACCTATCGCCAAATCTCCTATATCTCCTAAGGTAAGTAAAACAGCACAAGGTCTGACAGCATATGTCAGACAAGGCGTGTACCACTCCAGGGCTGGCACTGATCACCGCAGTATAAAGTAACTGGCTGGTCCTGAGTATGAAGAGGAGGGAAAAAAATAATTGTTCGATTTAAAGGGGGGAGGTTGGGCATAGCTCCTCTCTTACCTCTTCTCCATCCTTCTTCTTCTTTTTCCGACGGTCCTTCTCTCTCAGGGTGTCTGTGAGAGGAGCAGGGATGGTATGCATTAAGTCTGTACCTGATGCTAGATTTGAACACCGCTTAGGCATTTCTCCCTCAGTGACACTTGTAAGCAAAGATGTTGAGTACAAAGCAGCCAATGCATGTAGAATACCCTTTGATTACTCTTCTACATGCTGTCATCCGAGAAATAGCCTTCCCCAGAAAAGGAAGGGACCCGTATATCATCACCACTCTCAGGCCAGACTGCTGTAATACCTCAATGGCATGTGTACATGACAACAGTACTAAAAGACACGAATATCAGAGTGTTTGGTCCAGGCTGGTTTGTTTTGGTTGTGTATACTGCTTCTCAGTTGGTGCATTGGCTTCTGTCTCTTCGTTACCTTACCAATTCAGTTGCACCCACAATGTGGCAAGGAGATTAGATCACTCATAAAGCCCTGGGAAAATTACGGCTGACCCCACACACCCCAGTCATAACTTGTTTGTTCCCCTACCATCTGGCAGAAGGTTCCGGTCACCCCAGTCGCACACAACTAGACTCCAAAATAGCTTCTTCCCCAGAGCCGTCAAGTTGGTGACGCCCCCACTCCCTCCCATCATACTATGATCTCTCCTAACTCTTCCTATACCCACAAGGATTGTACTCCAACAACACTACACACACGACAACCGAATGTAAGCCGAAATTGTACTGTCCCTTTGATAGCTCGATAAAACTGTATTAGTTGTAATATTTATTAATCACCATACTATTTTTGCACTGTTCCCCGAATTACCTTGCACTGTTTTTGTCCTGTTGTATTCTTTTCTCTGTTTGCGGATTTTGCACAGTTCTGATTACATGTTATGTAATTACACATTACTGTTATTGTTATTGTGTTACTGTCTATTGTCTTATCTTCTGTTCTATTTATATACTGCACCTGAGTGACTAATGAGAAACACTTTTCACTATACTATGCACCTGTGTAAGTATAATGACAAATAAAGTTGAATTCAATTGAACTGAATTGTATTGAATTGAAGTTCAAATGAGGTAAGACTACAAGGGTCAATCTGGAAACGCAAGCGTTTATATTAATATACATAAGACAGCTTTTTATGGTGGTTGAGAAACATGTTCAATAAGATTAGTTTAGACATGTTATGAACTGGGAATATCCTGGTCCAAGCACTTTACCTTAACTACTGGACTAACTACTAAATACTTCTCGTCGCATACATAGATACACGAAGATGCACCAAAATCCATAACGTAACACTGAAACACCACGCATCTCCTACCTGATGTGCAAAAAACACTTTACACTGACAAATAACACACAATCCCACACATCCCCAGCTCCATGCAAACACAGTGTAACACACATATCATTCATTTGCTAACATGTTATTTACCGGCTTTGGTCAAGACCTCTTCATCAGCTGAAGAAAATTCTTCCTCGATTTCACTGTCATTGCTGGCTCCCTCCTCCTCTCCCTCCGCCTCCTCCTCATCATCATCGTCTGTCTCTTGCTCCTGACTTTCTCCTTCTTGCTTGGCCTCAGACTCCTCACCATCTTCTTTCTCTTCCTTCACTGCTTTCTCCTACACAGACATATGATACACACAGATACACACGGTCTTTCCCTGCTTGATAATAGATTCCTGTGCACCACAAATGCAGCAAGAGTGGAAGTTCAAAGGTGGGACGAGGATTTCTTTGGAAAAGTGGAGCCAGTTATTCATTTTCTCTTTCAGGATCTTGATGATAGCTTTTTATATGGAGAACCACACTCACAAAACTTTATTACTTGCACTGGCACCGCTACTATTGTTGCGATGGCTCCTGTCATCATTGTGAACAATCCTGCCCTCCTGACTCAAAAAGACCGGCCACTCACCTCGGTTCGCCGTTTCTTACGGACTTTCTCAATCTTCTCATCCAAGGTCGTAGGAGCTTTCTGCGGAGGAGAGGGGGAGGATAAGTTTGCCACCTTGCGCTCGGTTCCAATTTCTAACTCTCATCCTGGACTAAGGTCGATGGATCCTCCGACACCAGCACTGTCCACCTCTTATCATGTGACAAGCCCCCAGTGCAAACAAAAGAGCCAAGTGTGAGAGGAATGACTGACGTAACCTTCAAGAACAACCTCAGTGCTGCCTGGACAGGCACAGAGGGCTGCTGTTGTGCCACCAGCTAAGAAATACCCCAGTGCATTTCAAAGCCCCTGTCTGGCAAATCCCCGTCAAAGTTACGCATTCACAGCCACAGGGAGTGCTACTGCACAGTAAAATAACACCCTGAACCCAAACCCCATATCACATTCAGACAACAGCAAGCCCACCCCATGAAGCCCCCATTCACAGGTGGCCTTACAATTTAGCCAGAGTAAACTGAATGATCTCAAGCCTGCTGAGCCCAAATCGCTTGCCAGGCAGAGGTCCTTATGAGGTGAGCATGCGCGCAGATGTTGCTGCCGTTTTTAGGTGCCACGCACTCACCCTCTTCTTCAGCTGCGCCATGACGTCTGCCATAGCCCAGTCCTCGCTGTACAGGCCATCCCGCTCCCCGAACTCAAAGTCGGCGCTGAAGTCCCCCTGGCCGTGCTTTCGAAGGGCTTGCCGTTTCTGTGCCAGGACAATGGGCTGCTCCTGGCGCAATGGAACAGAAGAAAGATACACATGAGTGGAGGCCATTATACCGGCTGATACTGAGTAGTCAATCCACTGGTGAATAACTTGTCCCTGGGTCTCATCCAGCCATTACTTGAAAGAAGCCTGGATATCGGCTTTGACAGGATGGCTGGGTAGTTTGTTCCACACTCCCGCAACCCTTTGGGTAAAGATGTACTTCCTTTTTTCAGCTTCAAACCCATGACGTTTCTACATGTTTCGCTCTTTGCTCTGAAGAAGTCCACTGGATTGAAGGGAGAAGAAGGACCTCGGAGCACTTTACAGAAGCTCCCAGCCACTAGCCAGGACCTCCTGAAAACTCTCACAGCTGATGCACTGCCTGATCAGTCTGCTCGACCTCCGAATCTAACTCTCTAGCTTGTTAACGCATCTTCAGCCAATGTATTTTCTTGGTTAAAATCAAAGAGTAAGCTAGTAATTCAAACTCACTTCAGTGGCTTCTGCTCCTGAACTTGAATGAGCTTTTTTAGTTATAATGACACTAATTTATTACATTGGCGATATGTCACTTTTTTCTATAGAGAAGACGGTTACCCGCACAAATGTGTACTAAAAGTAGGGACACAGCTGAAATTAAAAAAGAATAGATACTGTACAGCAAATGCTATGGCACTCATGAAGTGTTTGTAGTGCAAGTCTCAAGATAAAGTGTAAAGACTTTTAATGACCACCCTACCATTTGTATATAACATATACAAGGGGTATTTTATATACAAAACACATTTCTGATACTGCTACCTAAACTGACTGATAACTTACAAAAGCAAAACGTGAATATTTTGCCATTCTTTAACTGGGAGTTTGTTTTTAATTTTCACTAGCTGTGAAAGTGGCAGTTTTATATTACATTAGCATGCACATTGAATATAATTTTGATACAGGCAGTGCCTATTTATGCCTCCAGCTTCATTGGTTTCTATCAATGGGCTCTCCTAGAACTAGTTAGAATTCAAATAATTAAAATTTAGGTAGCCTAGCTTTTAATCGCAATTGCCGACAGTATTTGGCTAGTACAGTAATATCACCAACCCCTCAAAAAAAAAAACATACCGTCTCGTCTTCAGATTCTGTATCGGGTTCCTCGGGCACTTCATCCTCATCAAGAATGGTTCCGATCAGATCCAAATCCGCCAACATGGTTTCGCACCAATCTGGCTGCCCTTCAGATTGGTTAATCCAACAGTAATGTATATTTCAAGCAATTTCAACAGGTTTTGGGATTCAAATCTATATTTATAAAAAACACGAAGGTGGGACGACAACAGCTGAACCCGAGAGCTACTAAACGTGAATTCTAATCGTTTCCCCACCTCATCGAATACAAATATAAGTCAACGTCCAACTTTCTCAGAACCTCGTCGTGTCGTTTCTTTAATTCCCGGTCCCGATCCACGTCGTTGCTACTAGTGCTAGCTTCCCAACTACACATGGAGTACTGAAGAGGGTTCTGCTTGGGAGACGCACACGTGTGGCTCAATATGCGGAAGTTGGTCCGCCTGCTTTATCATTCCCCTCCGAGGCTAGCCCAAAACAGGTCCTGAAATATTATCGTTCCTACAGCACCAGATGGGACTTCGATATCTCACGACACCTTTTACACTTTCTGTTCTACGTTTTGCACACATTACGAAATCTACATGATTTTAAGTAGAACTTGTTAAAGTGTCCCATTTAAATCGGAAAAAAACATGTAACTCGATTCTTCAGAAATTCCGTGCTAATCCGTCAAATTAAGATCGGGAACGGACAGGAACCCATTGTCTCAACCCCGTCAATGTCTACAATAAGAGCCAAATAAAATGTTTTACCCATGTTCATTAGCCATATACAATATCACATTAATATAGACGATGAGTCACATAAAATTAATATTCTATATATATAAAGCTATGTCACGTGTTACCCATGAACAAGGTTGCAAAGTCCCTCATTCACCTTAGAAAATAGGAGAAGCCACTTAACCAATTAATAGGAATGCAAGTAGCTCAGTTTAAGAATCAAAACTCAGCTTTTTCGTCAGAGATAGGGAGCAACTTTCAGAATCCTCTGACAATTTATACTCATTTATTGTTGGGTAACCATCAGTAACAAGAAAACCCATTCATTAACTCATCTTTCACTTTTACCAGCAGCAAAGAGCACACTCCTGTTCTCATTCATGTGGGAACCAATGCATGCTCCAAACCACAACCCCTTTTGGCTTTCAAACCACTTGCTCACACAAAATTTTGTCAGTTCATACCTAAAATGAAAACATATTGCATATCTCTATTGACAAAAACAGTTTAAATCTTTGAACTATGAGAAAATGCAATTCTGTTGGCAATGTCTGCAGCTTGTCCCCCAGCTCAGGGTATCTCCCTTGTGTTACTCCAGGTGCATATTTCCAACACATGGCAACTAGGTTAGCTGGTGCCTAAATAATCTGACAGCATTGTGAATGCCTGGCACCCCTTACAAGGTGCAGTGCCATCTTGTGAACCTCTCTCCCAGGATAGTCTCCATGTTACCATGACTCTTACCAGCAATTAGCAGCTTTCTGATGATAGGTGTGAGGACAGCACTCTCATCTGGCCTAAGTGAAGAACTACAACCACTTACTCCAGGTGTTGGTAACAGAAGGTCAAAATTCAGCTCAAGCAAATTCACAATTTCATACACAGAGTAACGGGAATCTTGAAAAGAGAACCACTTCATGAAACAGAATTGTCCAAAACAATTTATTTAAAAATATTACACCAAAATAAAAAAACCACAACTATACAAGAACTTGACGCAAAAAGCAGAGTCCTGGTGCAGGGGGGGGTTCAGCTCCAGGCGTCAAGCGACAGTCTGACCGAGATGCTCAGGGCCTGGGGGGGCGCATTCCTGGAGGAGGGGGTCCTGAGGCAGATACACAAACAAGAATGTTACTGATGACAACATGCAAGCCCTATGTCTATGCAGCATTGCAGTTGTACAGGGAGTTTTGTTTGAAAAGTGCTGTATTTGTAATTAAAGCTGTTACAAAGCTCAGAGGAAGATGGGGCCCCTCAAGGAATTGAATTTCAGACAACAGAATTCAGTATTGAAAGACTTGATATGCTCGGAAAACAAAATTAACTGGATGGCTGCTGGATGTCACAGGCGGGATTGTGATCTTTAACCACAGAGACCACAGAATCCAGAAAAAACTAAAGCACGACCGGAGGAGCCCAGACAGCGAGTAAGTTGTTTGTAAGGACACGGCGGTGGGGTGCGCCTTACCTCTCATCCCAGGGGGGGGTGGTCTCATCCCTGGCGGGGGCATGCCCATTGGGGCTCCGCGGCCAGGAGGCATGCCCATGGGTGGGCCCATTGGGGGCCTCATGCCAGGCGGAGGGCCCATCATACCTGCGGTGGAAGAGAAGCAGGATCTTCAGACTTCAAAATGGAGAAGGATGTTTTCATATGATAGTTAAGAGACTTAATACGATACACATAAATGTCTTTTCTGAAGTAGCCCATCTCCTACAGAGACCCCAAGAACAACTGAGCCCCACACTCCTGGCCTCTGCAGGGGACTGCTCAGTTATTCTAGTACATTTACATCTATGAATCCCAACTCCTAACCTGAAACACTGCAGTATAGCCACTGGAGACAATCATATCAGTCCTAGATTTCAGTGCTCTAAATGTAAAGAAGGCAGGAGCTCAGTGTAATCCTGCTTCAGTAGACTCAGCATCAGAATCAGCTCGATAATGAAATCATCACAGCTCCTGCCCACTTAGAAAAACCTTCCTTCAGCTTCAGTGCAATACTTATTCACATATTACATATTCAGACCAGTGAAAACCCTGTGTATATAACAAGGGTTTTTCCAAACACCCTGGACTTCAAGGTCACCCATATTATTCCCCCCCAACTTTGAGTAAGAAGAACACTACTCAGTAATAAGTCCAATAAAATGACTTGCCCTGGCAAACTGAGGCTACAGCGTCTTGGCTTAAGCGCAACTACGCACAAGCTGAAAAAAAAAGCGTGTACCTGGTGGGGGTGCTCCGCGGCCCATGGGGGGTGGGGGTCCACCTCTTCCTGGGGGATACTGGGTGGGGGCCCCTGCAATGCTGGCCCCTGCTGCTGCCGCCGCTACCGTCCCCCTGCCCTGTGGGGTCATCACCTGGAAGAAGACCGGGAAGAGCGTTCAGAAAGAGCACGTCATATCTTCAACAAAAATGGACCCCTGTCAAGGAAGTTAAACAGCCAGGATCTCAATGGATAACTTGCTCACACACAAGACTGAAATCAGTAAGCTTTTATTATTGGTGGGTAGCTGCGTCAGCATGCATAGGCTGCAAAGGAACAAGCAATAGGTTTATTCCATGCTGAAAAAAAGAAGAAAACAACGTTTTGGCTGAAGAAGGCCCTTTCTTTTGGCCCTTCAAAATACTTCGGCCAATCAAACCAAGAATGAACACCGTAGGAGAGTGCAAGTTCTTGCACGTAACCAATCCATGAAAAATGGAAACAAATTCTATAGCTCGCAAAGCAGGTCTCCAACTTTGGCCCTGGAAAGCCCCACTTCTGAAAATATTAAATCATTGCTTTCTGAAGTAGGTGACCTTAAGGTCACAAACCTCTCTAAACTTCAAAGTATTAATGCTTCTTGAAAAAAAAAAAGTCAATTAAACAATTCCAAATGTTCCTAATCATTAGAAATAGGTACACTGGGCTTTCCCAGACCAGGGCTGACTTTAGGATTTATCAGACTGAACATTAAATTCCATCATATCTGACCTCTAATCACTACAAGAGCCTCCATTACTTGAAAAAGCCGGCAAATGTATGCAAACTATTAAAAGTGCAGAACATTTTGTACTTTTAACATGCAACCAAAACTTAATTGAATTAATTCTAACAAACCATTAAGGAGCTGAAATGAACAGTACAAAATGAGATGCCCGGGAATCAAAGGTAATACAGTTTGAAACAAGTTTAAATCCAAAGATTAAAATGTGCACTATTTTAGGGAGGACTAAATGAAAATCAGATCAAGAGCAAAGTACACAACACAAATTCTAAGCAGCGGTTAGCAAGGAAAACTAACTGCCTGACATAAAACCCTGAAGAATTCCACAGGTGGATGGTATGTGCCGTCACATACGTTGCAGTTGCCTCCAGTGGGCAGTGGGAGAGAGAGCGGGGATTTATTACCTGTTGCGAGGGGCCTCCCACGCCGCGGACAGGGCCGGCCAACCCAGCGGGTGCCTGTGGCATTGGAGCTCCTGCGGGAACCCCCCTACCTGCCGCGCGGCCCACACCAGGACCTCCGGCCACGCCAGCCAGGGGCACACGGGCAATGCCAGTCTGCAACACGGAAGCACAGGAACCCCATAAAACAGCAGCCTTACACAGGAGTGGACCGAGTGCAAGAAAAACTCACATATGCAAAATCACGATTTACAGAAGATAAGGAATTTGCACACCGTGCATCGCAGGTTCAGCAATCGTGCCAGATCCGGTTGCAATTTTAGAGCGCAAACAAGCCTCCTTTAATTTCTTAACTTTTAGAACTAGAGTCATACCAGCTAATGGGATCTTGGCATAAGGGGTAAGAAGACAGACATATGCATCATTTAAAAAAAAAGCATCTTGACTTGAAAATGTGATCTTTAGTGCAGAAGAGCTCACATTTATTCTCTATGGGGGACTTGATAAATCAAAATTAAGCACTTTTTATTGAGCCCATTCAATTAGAAAGAACTTAAAGGGAGTGCCATTGTCTAGAAGCAGTGCTGCAGATCTGCTGAGCAATGGGACAGACTTACGTCTTTGGGTGGGGGACCCTCCACGGTCATTGACACCAGGTTCTCACCACGAAGCAGTACCAGCCCCAAAACTCTCTTCTCCTCGCGCTCCGGCTGCTTCGAGTTCTTTGGCCTGAAAGGAAAAGCCGTCAGGTGGGACTGGACTGCACGTTTTGCAGCGTCACACACTAACTGATGCAGATAAAAGTTGCATCCACCCCCACCCCCCATGTGAAACCCCCATCACCATCACCACTGAACAGATCAAGACAATGTACAAAATTCCATCTGAATGGCAGCTTTATAAACATCTCAGGCTGCAGCTGGAAGGATGCATAACTCACTCATAACACTACAAACTTCAGATCAAGCCAGAGGAGGCTTACTGTTGGCCAGTTGGCCAGGAAATCCCAGACGGACACTTCAAACCTCCTCCAGTGAGTCAATCATCCTAGATGAATCTTAACCAGTTTCAGGTAATTATATTAAAAGGAGTGGTGAGGTGAGAGCAGTTCCCTGGCAATGTACTGGGAAGCAGATGCCCTCTATATACTAGGTTGAACATAAATTGGAGATGTAAGCTTGTTATACAAGAACTCAACAAAAAAAGTTTATTTGTGACCATTATCTTTGCCAATATATTTGTAATACTATAGGAAGCATAGTGGTGCATGAGAACACCAGAGACTAAAAAACCACCAGAGCCTCTTACTTGATCTTTCTGAACTCGTCGCAGTCACACAGGATGAGGTTCATGTGTTTGTCGAAGGCCTTGAAGGTCCCAATGAAGATGCGCCCATCCTGGAGAATACAGCGCATCCTGTAGTCGATGTGCTGCAACATCTTACTGCTCTTTCCCACCGTCTACAAAGAGAGAGGAAGCGATCACATCAACTGTGAAACCACCAAAACAAAGAGGGAGGCTCCGGGCCTAGAGCAGTTCAGGTCTTCTCAGAAACAAAGAAGGATTAAAAGACCAGAGAAACGAGTATACTGCACCTTTACCTGGACAGAACACAGATTTCACACCACCTTCCCAGGGAGCTATAGTTAAATAAGCTTTGCTTACTCAAACTTCACTAGGTAATGAACAGGAGCATAGCAGAGTAGTGAGCCCACTTTCCTCCCCAATACACAGAAAAATATAGCCTTAAATCTATATTTTTAAAGTTGGCTTGGCCATCACAATAACTTCACAAAGGAGCACGTTAGAAGCAATATGACCATATTATATGGTCTATTATAGAACTGACCCCACATCTAAATGAAACCTATTTTAATTAACCACCTGGGTTGTTCGCAGCCAGAAGTCCCTAGAACGAACAACCATTGCGAACAACCATTATGTAATCCACCCCATACCAGTTAATTTTTTTTATTCATGATGGTTCACTGCACTGACTCCTTGTGAATGTGGAGTTGCTACTGTGTAGGATCTAGTGTTTTATACACAAGACTTACAGTACACAATGTGATGTTACGATGCTCGCTCACTTCCTTCACCCCACTGGACACGGTGTTTGTGGCGTGCCGTGCAGACCGAAGACAATGGTTATACAACCCAGCTCAACGGTGCACCGCTCATTACCACAGGCCTCATTTCAAGTGAACACTTAAAACGGCGTGAAAGACTATAATTGTAGACTGTATGTTTTAATGCACCGAGGCCCAAAACGTACCGATCTTTCTCCACTGACGAAGTGGAATAACCAAAGTCGCCGTTTTGCAAATACACATCGAACCGGTTTGGGCGACCGTGCAAGATTCTCTATTCAACACAACACGCATCGGCTTCATTCATTCCAAGTTTCTGGGGATGCCGAGGCCTTGCTTTCGAGCTAACCTGTACTTAACTAGAACCCAGGTTCCGAGTTACAGTTCAATACTGTGTACTCGGGAAACGAGAGGGCGACATAGACGGGTTTACTCAAACCCAACACAAGCGCGCCCAACATTGGCCTTTCCCAAGCTAAAGGTAAGCGACTTTAACAAACCCAACAATTTCCTAAAACTCAAATACCTCGGAATTACAGAATATATGTTAACCTAGGAAATGTCTAAGACAGTCTTACCATGGTTGCGGTTCTGATGGCTCCGATTCAGCTCGGATTGCACCAAACGCTTAAAAAATTGATCCGCGGAGCTAGAGCGCCGCCAGGACCTTCTTTTAGGGGGACATAGGCCGGAAGTGAGTGAACGGGTAGAAGAGGGCCCCCTGGAAACACGTACCACATCATCGTGGTTCCTACGGTCATGTAAAAACAAGTTAATTTTGGGACTCATCAGTTTTTAAAAGGTAAACATACACCGAAAATTAAACACGTTCAGGAATTTGTTTTCTTTCTGCATTGGTGATATAATATGCACAGACTTTAAAAATAATATTTTGGTGAAGGAGAAGCTTCCGCCGGAACCAAATGCGGGAGGAAGGAAGCGCAGGAGGTGGTGTCGTATGTGTGGCGCAAACGGACAAAAAGTAATTGGAAGGCATTGGCGCAAAAACTGGCATGTGTGTTTATTATCAGCAATACTGGAAGTGTTTTGGGCTTTTACGTTCTGAGCGTCACTGTCGAGATTTTTTAGAGATTTTAACATTAATCTTACGTCCATAATTTTTACTGCTCAGTAAGCTTAAAGCCAATATCGATACTATTGTCACGTCTTGGCACTCAATATGCATGGCTGACCAGTCACTGAACCTGCACGTAAAATGTATCAGATATAAAGAACATGGAGACTGACGGATGTTTTAGAAATACTGTAGATGATTGCGGTCATGTTATTGATTATTGTAACAGGTGTGCTCTTGCGCATCTTTCCTAGTCCTACCCTTTATCTTGTCTGTGTCCCTGTTTGTTTTATCTGGTATTTAGGTGTGGTTCTGGTCCATCTGTTTTCTAAGCGCTTTATCCAATACAAGGTCACGGGGGAGCTAGAGATTATCTCTGCAAGCAACAGGCAACCACAACGGAACCCCGGCCTATCACAGGGCACACACAAGCTAACACTTGGGTTAATTTTCCCAGAAGCCAGTGAACCTACCAGTATGTCTTTGAACTGTGGGAGGAAACAAGAGCACGGAGAGAACATACAAACTGCACATAAACGGCACCCAAGGTGTGGGGATTGAACCAGGGTCCCAGTGCTGTGAGGCAACAGTGCTAACTACTGCGCCACCATGCTGCCTTTGTTTTAAATCTCACCCTGTGAATCGGTACCAACTACAGAGCTGACAGTCTAAGTGAAGGTTCTTGCTGTGTAACCAGTATTCAAACACCCGGGCTATACTGTTGCATATACTAGGACTGGAGCTATGGAATAATGTAGTGGTACTGACATGAATTAAAATAAACAGCAAATTATTCATCTTTATAGTATATCAATCACCCACTAAAAAAGCTCCGACACTGTGTTGTTGTACTCTTAATCTAGCACAGTACTTACAGAGTGCACTACACTACACTAGCCCTCTCGTAGTCTTATCTGTTCAAGACTTAAAAGGTACAAATCTAGCTGAATGTCATATCGTTCAAGGAATTGATTCCTACCGTATCAATTTTTTAACTGATTTACTCAAGCATTTAAGTTGTTATATAACTATGGGTGCAATGTGACTGCAAGAAGGTTTTTCACCAATTGCAATGCTTTAGAATATGCAGTCTGTCCAGTAAGTACATAATCACAATAGTAAAAAGAATTACAGGTAATCTCATCCACATTCTTATCTTCTATGTATTCTTGGGAATAATCTAAAAACACAGCCTCTAGACATAAAGATGAAACTACTGCACCTACAACCCATGTTGTATGATTCTCTGTTCTGTCTTCTGTTATAACCCTCTTTCCACAGGTTACTGCCGATTCCCAGAGAAGGACAGCAAGGACAACGGTGATACCTTTCACTCTCTGTTTATTCACACAAACTCTTTACAATTGCCTCTGTAAGGCAACATAAAGTATACAGATATTAATCATTTATTTATATGTATATTTTGTAACACTTTTATTTCCTTTTATTAACAGGTCATTCACTACCGTCACTAGCATTAACACAATCATAGCTACTGTGAAGATTTCATATGAAACGGTACCAATTACAAACACCCCTTTCCAGGCTCCCCATATACAAACATCTCTCAATCCACACACTCTGTGGCAAACAGCAGTGCTTAAGCTGTTGAGGGCAAATATTAGGCGATTGTCTTAGGATTTGGCAGTAGCATTGGTTGTCCAGCAGAGGGCACTCCGTTCACTTTATGGCCCCTGCATAACCGCGGGTAGGAGAGGTAATGTTCATCCCAAGCTACATTTGTTTTTAAGTTGTGCTCTCAGTCAATTAATTGCACCATTTATTAACTTGAGTAAATGTGGCTGCTAGGATTGAGACAACTACTGTATCTTCTCTTGTTTTCTCTGGATGAGATGTAGTCTGTAGCAGGTACCCAAATGGGTGGACTGAGGCAACTGGGGTAAAGTACCATGCTCAAGGGTACAACAGAAGTAACCACAGCAGGGACTCAAACCCACAACCTTGCAGTTGTCAGTCTGGAGCCCTAAGCACTACTGTATGCTGTCCCTTCCCATATAAACCGACATTAAAACGACAATATGGCAGTGTTCTATAGCCTTTTTATTTGGGTTACATCTGAGACACTAATTTATACAAACTACGCCCCTTCTAATAGTTTTGTCTGGGTCAGTCTCTGAAAGGGAAAGCAGAATCAACAATGTCTGTATGTTGGAAAGCCACATGAAAACTTTGTTTCTTCACGTTTCTAGTTCAGATGAAGTCGTGTGCAAAACTCTGCCGAGAGCTGCTGCTTGATGTGTAGCAGGCAGTACGCTGCATCATGCAGTTAGATGGTACTGGCTTCTCAGGGGAATGGATACAGCACCCTTCTGATTCTTCACAACTACCCGAGAAGAGGTTCACTTCGATTTGCACTTGTGTATCAGCTATCCCACTTTGAAGATACATCACGGAATTAGATAATGGATTTGGAGGAGCTATTCCTATACATGTGAGCAAGGGTATACAGAATTCCCATTCCCAGTAGGTGTATTCCAGATACTCTGGTATGTAGAAAACTATCTCCATGGAAATTTACTGAGTGACATGAGCAGTTTGGTGCTTCTTCCATGTGCAAGAAAAGAACCAAACTGAACATAGATCTCCCAAACCAGCTGTCATACTGGGGAGATTTTTGAATTGCTAGTATTAGTTAAAGGTTTGCCTGCCAGATGCCCCTTTAAGAGCTCAGAACAACTTGACATATTCAGTTACAAAAATAGACTCTGTTCTCAATTACAAATAACAATAGTGATACTGAAACTGAGAGAGGGAGAAGAGAGACTGGTCAAACTATGCAGACAGCCCTAGCACACCGCTTCTTCTTAAACATCAGTTCATCATGACTCTAAATTTGCTTTAGTAGGATGTTTAAGATTGAGCATTGGATTTCTGACTTTTCTTCAAGATTGTGTTTTCTTTAACAAAAATTTGGAACAGTATAGCACAGTTCACAGAGAGTGTGCAAGCTGAAAACAGTTTCTTCTGTGAACAGGAAATTGCACTCTGAAAAACAGAAAACTCACACACATTTCCACAGTTGAAACACTGCTGTGTTCTACATTCTCTCTACTTTTCAGTGTGGAATTAAGCTCTGTTCAGAGGAGGGGCTGGTTGGTTCCCAGAAGGCCTGCTGTTTTGGATGAACTGAAATCAGACAACATGTTCCAGTAATGAGGCCTTGCAAAACAGCTAGGTTAGATGATTATCAACCGGATTACAACATCTCTTCAAACGGGTTACATCCTTTCCTGTGCCATCAAAAAAGGCATAAAAGCTATTTTGCCAAACCACCCTCCCTGACAAGTAAAGCCAAGTTCTGATGTGGTCAGCTGAGAATTTCTTTAGTGTTGAAGGACACATCAATATGATTTACAGCCCCTCTTAAAGTAGCAGTGCTGGGTGTATTGTTATATTGTCATTAAAAGCTGCCTTTATTCTTTCCTCACCAGTTCTTCCTTCCTCCCTCTCCCTTTGTCTATTGGTCTCCCTCTCCCTCATCCCTCCCGACCCCACCATCCCTCACCTGTCCCCGTCTTCCCTGTTGCCCATTACCCCTCCCAGATCCATAAAGCTTCCTCTACATGTTCCCTTCCATCTGCCTCCCTCCCCCACCCTCTAGAACTGCTTGGTCCCCCCCCCCTCAGCCGTAGTGATAGGTGAAGTTGTAGGTGCTGGGCTCCTTGGGCACGGGGGGCGGGGCCTCGGGGATGGTGATGTTCTCCAGGTCGAGGAGGCGGAGCTTCATCTCCATGCTGATGAGGGTGTCAAGGTCGCTGCGGGTCAGATCGCTGCTCATCTCCCGGCCGAGGAGAGCGCACAGCCCGTCGGTCCAGATACAATACTGATGACACACGCACACACACAGGGAGACAACACCCTCCTTTCAGATTCAAAAATCTGTAATGATCCACGAGTCAGGAACATGAGTTTGGATTTGTGTTGAACCCATGTAAGGGCGCAGAGGAGGTGCGTCAGGGTCTTACCTCATACTTATTGGGTGCGATGAAGTTCAGAGCCTCGTCAGGATCGTACAGGATGGAGAAGGCAAGCTCCACAACTTCCTACACAAATCACACGTGTGTTAGAACAGGCAACCACACTGCCCAGTGGCTGCAAGCAGTCCTTTTCATCTCTTTATACAAGACATGCATGAATACAGTACATACATACACATACATGTATTTACACACACATATTGTATAAAAAATATATTGCATGGTAGGGAAGCACAGAACTGATCCATTTTACAATGTAAAAAAACAGTCAGAATACACCAATCAGATATATGACTTAAGGTGCCTGATTAGCGTATACCACATATTGTTAAACTGCACCTACTCGTAACTGTTGTTGACTCTCTGATTACAATCTTCACATGTGGAGCATAAGATATTATTCTGAACTGACTTCCTGAAGATAAAAAGCTTCCACAATCTTTTAATGTGCACACACAGGGTCAAAGAGAAACATGCAGCTTTTGTGCCAGTAAATTCTCCATTTAATAGCTTTATCACTCAATTCCTACAAATGCAACAGCCCTCATGTTTCATAGTTACTTAACCCTGAAAGGATTTCTTTCAAATCACAGGGTTTAAGAGAATTTGAAGAACTGATAAACACAGCTGGTCGGAAGAGCTTGGGCTGGGAGTAAAACCCTGGACAAACTGCGGCCCTCCAGGAGGGGATATAAACATTTTCCAGACACCCTGTATAACCCTCCAAGATGATCTCAGTGATTTACTGAGCAAGGCAAATGAACCCAGATCCCCCTTTCCTCCTCTTTAGTGCGCCCGCTGTGTCCAGCGTGAGGGTGGCACCTTGTTCTGTTTCAGGGTGCTCTTCTCCTTCATGTGAGGACAGTCCTTTCCTGTCACCACTGACTTGATGTCAGCTACCGGAACTAAGAGAGAGAGAGAATGAGAGGAAGGATGAGAGAGAGAAAGAGACACACAAGGGGGAGATTCAGCCAGACTGAGAGATGCTAGAAAGGCTAGCCTTGTTTTCCTTCCCCAGTATCTACAGATCCAGACGCTAGTCTCTATTCCCCTATAATCACCCATCTGCTCCCCCATTCATCCCAGCTGGAAATAAGCTCATTATTTACACACCCCCCTCTCCTTTAACAAAACCTCCCTCCTTTCTGTTAGGGAACTTACTCTTGTCAGTGAGCAATTCGAAGGGCACCTCCCCCTGGGGTGGCTCCTCCAAGTCTCCGTAGTGCAGAACTTTGTGATTCAGAGACAGACGGCAGAACCAGAACTTCTCTGGAGAGGAAGA